CAGGAGTAGGGGTGTGACATTTTCTCTTTCCAAAATTGCACTTCCACAAGCATAGAACACGAACAGTGAGCTATTTGGATTTCCATCAAAAGGTAGGTCTTGACCATCATGTGGTCGGATGACTTAATTGCATTGATCTAGCAATGTCATTAAAGAGACTCTAAGTTGGGGTAGGGAAATCCACAGAAATGGAGCAAAAACACTGAGGGCACTTCCAAAGAAATAAGAATCTCAAGGTCTTAAATACCTGTTCTTGTCAGAGTGTCTGAAGACAAAAAGCAACACATAGACTTCATAGGAGAGAGTTTGTGACCCCAAGATTTTACTCCCATTCCAGCTTCTTCTCAGGTTTCCATTTGGGAATGAAAGCAAGAAAGAAATTTCTGGATGTGAGAAGTCTAGACATATATCACAAAAAAGGGCAATTACTGAATAAAATATTTAAAACATATCCTAGAAAAATTAAAGATTAACCAAAAATTATGATTGGGTACTGACACTAGAAAGAACTGAACTAAAACATGAAAGTAACTAGAAATAAAAATAAAAATGTAAATGATTGTTTTACAAATGGGTATATGCACTAATTGATACTTTATATATAAACAACAAATGAGAGCTTAGAATCCCAGAGTAGGAAGAGAGGATGAAAAAAGTGGCAAATTCCTTATCTCCAGAAAAAGAAATAATAATTATATACATGAAGCAAAAACAATAAATAAAAATGCTTCAAAATATTTTCCTTTTTTAAAGATGTATTTATTTATTTGAGAGGCAGCATTACAGAGAGAGAGACACACACAGAGAGAGGGAGACAGAAAGAGAGAGAGAGGTAGAGCCAGAGAGAGAGAGAAAGTTCATCCATCCACTGGTTCACTCCCCAAATGGCTGCAATGACCAGAGCTGAGCCAATCCAAAGCCAGGAACCAAGACCTTCTTCCAGGTTTCCTAGGAGGGATGCAGGGGCCCAAGGACTTGAGCCATTTTCCACTGCTTTCCCAGGCCATTGGCAGGGAGTTGGACAGGAAGTGGAGCAGCCGGGACTTGAACCAGTGCCCATAAGGCATTTCCGGCACTGTTGTCAGTGGCTTTACCCACTATGCCACAGTGTCAACACAAAAAATATTTCCTTAAAAATTTATTTATTTGAGAGGCAGGGACAGGACTCGAAAACACTAGTTGACTTCCCAGATGCCTGCAATGATTGGGGTTGGGCTAGAGTGGAAGCTAGGAGTCAGAAAGTCAATCCAGGTTACCCAAGTGGGGAGCAGGAGCCAAATCATTTGAGTTATCACTGATGCCTCCCAGGGTCTACATTAGCAGGAAACTGCAGTCAGAAAGAGAGTCAGGTATTGAACCCACTGCTCCTATATGGGACACAGGCATAACCACTAGGCAAAATGCTGTCCCCAAACCACTCTTAAGGAAAGCAGCCAAAACTATTATTTCAGAAATAAATGAAAGTTTTCATGATTAAACACAAAAGTAGGCTGGTGCCGCAGCTTACTTGGCTAATCCTCCGCCTGTGGTACCAGCACCCCGGGTTCTAGTCCCGGTCAGGGCACCAGATTCTGTCCCGGTTGCTCATCTTCCAGTCCAGCTTTCTGCTGTGGTCCGGGAGTGCAGTGGAGGATGGCCCAAGTGCTTGGGCCCTGCACCGCATGGGAGACCAGGAGGAGGAGCCTGGCTCCTGGCTTCAGATCAGCACAGCGCGCCGGGTGCAGCACATCGGCCATAGCAGCCATTTGGGGGGTGAACCAACAGAAAAGGAAGACCTTTCTGTCTCTCTCTCTCTCACTGTCTAACTCTGCCTGTCAAAAAAAAAAAAAAAGTAAAAATAAAATATTGCAATAAATCAAAGTGGGTGAAAAATAGTTATATATGTGTATATATATATTCCATATTCTGTGAAAATACAGTTTATGTGTCACTTTTAGAGACTGCTAGACATTCACTAATTATTCTCAAATTGAACCAAGTACTTATCCTATCTTTCTGTTACAGTTTTTGTCTAGACAAATAAGCATTTGAGGAAGGAAAGTTCTTTATAGAAAACTCACAATGAATAAGGATAAAAGAACAATAGAATTAGAGAAATTATCATTTTAAGATTACTTAAGGAAATAATGGACCTTGGCAATGATCATCAATGGCTGCTTAAAAGGATTAGGTTAAAAGTTGATCTAATTTTTTTAATGAATGAATCAATCTGACATCACCTGAAACCACTGGTCATTTTAACATGAGTAAACCTGAGACAGGACATGACATTACTCCTAATGCGATGCACTTGAAAGTATACAGCACCACTTATGAAGTATCCTTGCCAAATAATTTAAAAACTGAATTCAATCAATATTTTGGACCTACCCTCTGATTTGCAGGATATGGAGAAGGGGAAGCATGCAAAATAATTCCATGAGAATACAGTAACCAAATACAGACTGTGAGACATTCAATACAACAAAGGATCCAATTTATTCCACCAATAAGTGTCAGGAAAACAGAGGGGAATGATACAAACTATACCAAATGCAGTATGTGGATTTTGTTTGGAATCTTATAGGAAGAAATCATTGGCAAGGACATACATTATAAACAACTAATGTTTAATAATAGCGTAATATTAAAAATAATGCTAATCACAATCTTAGATGGCTTATTTAGAAAAGCAAGAGAATTAATGGAAAATTCTCAGAAATAATTAGTAATGTGCTAAGTGCAGGATAAAAATAATATATAGTATTAACCACTAGATATAAGTTAACAATTCTGAGTAGTTATCAAAAAACACAATACTTAGAAATAATTTTGCTGAGAAATATGTGTACGCAGCTTGAAGAAAGCTCCAGAATTTATACTCATACAAATACTTAAATTCTGTTTTACATTCTCTGTCCCAGTTGCCTTAAATATCATTCCACATTAAATGTGCTTTTACCCATTTTACAATACATCTCCTCCCTTACTTACTTTTTTACCAATCTGTTAAATAAAAACACATTATAGGCAACACGATTGCTTGTTTCTGTAAAAATATCGCTCTTCACATAGGAATCTCAGCATCATATACTGAAGTATGTGGTTACAGAATCACCTCGTTAAAGAAATTGGAGAATCATGACTGGATCCTGTTGCCTTTAATGATTTGGGGGTTGCTAACTCACTTCTGACTGTTTAGGATTAGAAGTTGTTACAGCCTCATAAAGTTTTATGATGGGGTCACAACCCTTACCTTTTCCTATGGCCTCGCCTCATTAAACACCATTCTGCTTGGCTGCTGCCTACTGACATCCGTACAGCAGTCCATCAGCTACCACCAGAGGCAGGACTCTGAGTAGCACGGATCAAGCCATTGAAGTTGCCTCAATCTAAGTCCTTACATGATTATATTGTTCAATTATAATCTAATCCTTGCAGGAATTAATGCTTTCATAGTAAGCCATTGTAAACTCTACATATTTATCTTACCATGCAGGGATATAACATTGAATCAACTAAACTTTTAGGTGTACATATATCCCAATAATCTTTCACAACACTCCTCAGGTAGATATATTATTGGTTCAACAATTTTAAATTATTTATTTACTTGAAACTTATTAAATTATTTAGTTGGAAGGCAGAGAGATTCTCCATCCATCTTCTAGTTCATGCTCCAAATGCCCACAACAGCTGGGGCTGGGCCAGGTCAAAGCCAGCATCCAGGAAGTAAATCCAGATCTCCACTTGAGCCATCATCTGCTACTTCTCTGAGTGTACATTAGCAGGAAGCTGGAAACGGGAACAGACCTGGGGGTGAAACGCAGGTACTCCAATAAGGAGGAGTGTTTTAACCACCATACCAAACTCCCACTGCTGGTTCATTATAAAATTAGTTTAAATAAAGGTTGTTTGCAAATTAGACATAGGTTTACATATATATAACTCAAGAAATTTTTCTGAGATGTGTACAGAGAATTTGTATAACTATGAAGAACGAAAATCGTATCCACAGACTTGGAAAACAAAGCACTTAATAAGTATAAAGCTAGCATAAATTCAGTTGTTAGATACCATTTTATAAAATGCTTACATATCGTTTTGCTTCACCCATTTTTTATTGCAAATAATGACTTCATTGTGGCTATTTATATTGCCCTACATATAATAGAAATCATGTGTTCCTCTGGATGAAGAAAACACATATGGAGAAAGAGAAGACAGAAGCATGAAGTAAAAACAGAAAGACAGAAACTAAGGCAGTAAAGAAGCTAGTAAGACACTACTTTCTGTTTCCATACATGTTCTGAGCAGTCTCATATGGAATAGTGATCCAGAGTAAGGAAAGCTCTGGGTATCTGGCTCATGTCCACATCAAAGGCATCTCGAGTAAGTACCAGTTCTCCCCTGGGGACATGGAAGAGGTTCACAGGGTCTTTCGCAAGAGAAGTCCTAGAACATAAAAGACTAGCAATGGATGTGTTAAGGCACAAATGGGTTGCAAATGGGGAAAGATACTGATCTCAACTCATAAAGTGGAGTGTCCTGGACAATTCCAACATTGGCTAGAGCCCTGAGCCAGAAATTTCTGGCTATAAGTAACAAGCCCTTTGACCATGGCTCTATTTAAAATATTATTTTCTGCTTGTACCATGGTTTTCAAAAGAATAGGAAGCACCATTGTAAGGAAAGAAGAGATATCTTGGCTTCCCATAGAAGCTGGCCTGAAGCGTAAGCCAAATTACCCAGAGCTATGGTCAGGTTTCTAAAATCAGCTTCATATGACTCATTCAGACTTTCACTCATTGTCACTGAAGAACTCACTAAGGAGTTTTTCTGCCAGTAACAGTTCCCAGAAAGGATCAAAAGGAGAGGTATGTACACTATGTCTGCCTTAAAGTATAGCATTTTTGGCATGACTAAGGCAAAAGCTTTACTTATCTTTTTGAAGAGGTATTTAAGATCTTTGATTGGCTCACAGGAATAGGCAGACGTATCTTTTGGATTCACCTGTGGAGATTCAAGAGGTAGAAGTTGAATCCTAATTTCACTGAGGTATTCATGCTCAGTAGCACCTGGTAAGGTCACTTCCATTTAAGCTGCAACTGATCTGAAGAGGATCTCTCTGTGAATGGCTTGTTCAGGAATTCCTAATATTGGAGCCTTTGTTAAAAGCTCTTTAATTCTTTGGAACACCTTTGGTAGCTCCCCTGTCAAGCACAGTGTGTCTGTGTCAGGGTCTTTTAAAGCACATACAAATCTTAGAATCTAAATCCTGGAATCCATATTCCATAAAATCCTGCCATCACTGATTCCCGATGTTGGAGCTTCTGTTAGAAGTGCCTTAATTCTTTGGGACAGCTATTGTAGCTTCCCTATCCAGCACAGTGTCTGCATCAGAGCTTTTTAAAACTTCATACAAAAGCTTGGAATCCAAATTCCACAGGATCTTGCCATTCCCAGAAATAGCCTTAGCTGCCTTAATATATATATATATATAGATAGATAGATAGAGAGAGAGAGAGAGAGAGAGAGAGAGAATAGCTTCCTTTCTATTGACTGAAAGAACACACTTCCCTGGAGTTAGAACATATCCCAGGTAATCTACCTCTAGTTTAGAAACCTGAGCTTTCAATCAGACTTGCCCCAAACAGTAGAGTTAGAAACGTGCCAGGGGATTCCAATTCAATCCCATCAAGGTGGCATGTACCAATGCCATCTCACTAGTCCAAGTGATCAATTTCTGCTCACAATTGATCATAATGATAGGTCTAAGAGTCAAAGGGATCACATAAACAAGACTAGTGTCTGCTAATACTAACTGATAGAATTAAGGAGAGAATGATCCAACATGGGAATTGGGATACACAGCAGACTCATAGAATGGCAGATGTCCTAAACAGCACTCTGGCCTCAGAATCAGCCCTTAAGGCATTCAGATCTGGCTGAAAAGCCCATGAAAGTATTTCAGGCATGGAAAACCAAGACACTGTTGCAAAAAGAAACAAACAAAAAAAAAAAACAACAAAAAAGCGACCTAAATTAAAGATCTCTGTGAGATCCTGGCAGAAAGAACGGGCCATCAAAGAAGGAGGTACCTTTCTCTGAAGGGAGGAGAGAACTTCCACTTTGACTATGACCTTGTCTAAATAAGATTGGAGTCGGTGAATTCAAAAGGCTTCCATAGCCTTGGCAACTCATGACAAGAGCCTCGGGTGATTTTGACACCATAAACAAGACTGTCAATTGTTAAATCAACAACAGGAGTCACTGTGCACTTTCTCCCCATGTAGGATATCTGTCCTTAATGTGTTGTACTATGTGAATTAACGGTATAACTAGTACTTAAACAGTACTTTACACTTTGTGTATCTGTGTGGGTGCAAACTGCTTTACTTAGTATATACTAAGTTGATCTTCTGTATAAAAAGATAATTGAAAATGAATCTTGATGTGAATCGGATGGGAGAGGGAGTAGGAAATGGGATGATTGAGGGTGAGAGGGAGGTTATGGGGGGAAAAAGCCAGTGTAATCCAAAAGTTGTACTTTGGAAATTTTTATTTATTAAATAAAAGTTTAAAAAAAAAGAAACCTGAGCTTTGTTTGGGAAATTCTGTATCCTCACTTTCCCAGATTCTGGGTTTAGTAGGATGCAGAAAAAATTATCCCTTAAGGAAAGGTTTAGCACACAATAAGATGCATTGAAACAACTGTTCTCATTAGTCAATGGACTCCCTGTCCAAGGTAGTTATGGACAATAGATAGGCCTTAGAATACATATTAATAGAACAATGGTTTTATAATCTACATAGCCTATCACTACCCACTATCTGGGAGATGGCAAGATGTTCTCTTTCTATCTTAAGGGTGACACCATTCACAATTAGCTTTATTCCAATTCTGCTCATGTTGATTGACAAACTTACATGTTTCAGAACCTGACTTCTGAGAGTAATTATGGCCATGCAGGGGACACAGACATTGGTGGTGACTGAAAGCACGTCAGCTCACAAAACTAATTTATTAAATGAAATAGGCAGAGAGTTCCGGACAAAGGACAAGGCAGGGCCTATGCCCCTAATAAGCATGAAGCAGCTACAGAAGATATGATGATTCTACACCCTTCAACATCCCTTAAGATTAAGGTCTGGAGTTTCTGAAGGGGGGATGTTATAGGCAGGCAGATAGAATAAAACCTATTAGGTCTGTAAGCTGGAGACCACACTCTACACCACGCCCCCTGTGTGATGTGCCCCTACCTGAGTTCACCTGAAAGCCCACCTGCCCATCTTACTGTGTAACCACTCCCCTTTAGAAAGCATATAAAAGACGAGGAGCACCCCAAAATCACTCTCTGCCTTTGCTCCACTACCCGTGATAAACTGCTTTTGGCTGCTCATAACCAAATGTTTGCAGCACGTGGCTCCTGGCCTGCTCTCTGCTTGGTATGGACCCCAACTTAATTTCTAGACTTTTTTTTCCCTCCCTTAGCTGGAGCCCTCACTCTCTTATGTATTTCTCACACTGGATAATGTTCAGTATCGAGTACAGTATCTGTGCAAGGCAGAGCTTCATGGATGCATTATGTGAGTCTTCATTCCTCACTTCTTTCTACAAAACAGAAAAAACTCACAACTTCTACTGATCTCTCAAGTTAATTTAAGGATGAGATTGAAGTCAGCAATTCTCCTATTATACTTTTATTTGCTCTATTTTTATACACCTTTTATTTTCATTGATCACCCTCATTGGAGATAATTGTTTTGTTGAACTTGATATCACTTGATGGGGATTAATAATTACTAGTCTTTTCCATTGCCCAAGAATATGATTTTTGTAATGCTTTTGAGGATATTTACTTCATACTAACCAAACTTTGAATTCTGAGTAGGTTAAAGAGCTTTGTAGAAGTCCACCCTCTTGCAGATCAGGTGATCAGTCCTGATATTCAAAGGATTGTCTCAACTTTGGTCCTGAAAGTCTTAAATTCCAGAAATCCCTCTTTCCCAACCAAACTGGAATGGCTGGTCATTTGATGATAAGAAAGACCAGATAAAATACAAAAATCCTTTTTAAAATAAAGTATTTGAGAGTGACAAGAGACTGAAGAAGCTGACTTTCAGAGGCCAGCTAATATTTTGAGGTGCACTTTCTTCAAAAGGTTACAGGCTAAGAATCCTGGCATGGCTCAGGTAGCAGGCTGTAGTTGGGGTTCAATACCTTGGCAGAGGTGGTGGAGGTATCAGGTGGCTAGGGTGACAAAACTGGACTCTCAGGAGAATCAAGCACACAGGTGGGGGTCTACCCTTCAGCACATTTGTGAGATTCTGGAGCTAGACAGAGTGGGGAATGAAAGAGCTGAAAAACAGAGGGGAATGAAAGATCTAAACAGGGAAGCCCTGCAAAGCAAAGCATAATTCTATGCAGACTCCAACAGTGCTGACGGACAAAGACCCACAAAGGGGAGAAGGACCTGAGCAAACACAGGCAAGAGATGAAAGCTCACGAGGCAGTGTGATACGCTGCAACCACTTCTGCTGAGGAAGTAGATTTTTGTGTATAATGAGAGGTAGGGATCTAAATCCATTCTTCTACATAAGTACCTCCAGTTTGTCATCACCATTTATGGAAACACTGTCCTTTCTACAATGTATGCTATTGGCACCTTTGTTACAGATTAATCTCTGAGCTCTCTATTCTGTTCCACTGAGCTATGTGCTAGATTTATACCACTACCATGCTGTTTTAATTACTACAGCTTTCTAGCATGCTTTTTTTTTTTTTTTTTAATGGCTCTGAAAAGAGCCTTTGGGCCGAGGATGGAAACCGGAGAGGAGGGCGCGCTGCCTAAGCCCACTCTCCGCGGATGCGGCGGGCCAGCTGGATGTCCTTGTGCGTGATGCCGACGCGCTTGGCATGGATGGCGCACAGGTTCGTGTCCTCGAACAGACCCAGCAGGTGGGCCTCGCTCGCCCCCTGCAGAGCCATGACGGCCGAGGTCTGGAAGCCTAGGTCTGTCTTGAAGTCCTGCGCGATCTCGCGCGCCAGCCACTGGAACGGCAGCTTGCGGATCAGCAGCTCGGTGGACTTCTGGTAGCGCCGGATCTCATGCAGCACCACGGTGCCCGGCCGGTAGCGGTGCGGCTTCTTGACGCCGCCTGTGGCCGCCGCGCTCTTGCGGGCCGCCTTGGTGGCCAGCTGCTTGCGCGGGCCTTGCCGCCCATCGACTTGCGCGGCGTCTGCTTCGAGCGGGCCCTCTAGCGTGCTTTGAAATCAGGTATTGTGATACCTCCAGCTTGATTTCTTTTTTAAAGTCAGTATCACTTTGGTTATTCTGGATTTTTTAATGATTCCATATAAATTTTAAAAGTGTTTTTTTCTAATTCTATAAAGAATGACATTTGTATATTGCTAGGGATTTTGCACTAAATCTGTACATTGCTTTAGGTAGTATAAGCGTTCCCACAATACTGATTCTTCCAATCCATGAGCAAGGAATAGTTTTCCATTTTTTGTGTGTTCAATGATTCATCAGTTTTTTAACATTTTATTAAAACATAGTATACACACCAAGAAATGTACTTACACATACAGATCAATGAGTTTTTTGTTACCTGATCACACTCATAACACCCAAATTAAGAACAGTGCTTTACTAATACCTCAAGAGTCCTTACTACCCCTCTATTTCTTATTTTTTAGCATGTGAAATGAGAATACATTGTCATTTACATGGTAGGATTCAGTGAAGCAAGAACTGTATACAAAATGATGTCATCCACAAAATTTTTATCCTCTATATATTAACTATCACAAATAAGAGAAAGTATGACATATTTTTCTTTTGGGGTCTGGTTTATTTCACTTAGCATAGTGATCTCCAGTTGCATCCATTTTGTTGCAAATGTCAGGATTTCATTCTTTTGTATGGTTGAGTAATATTCCATCATGTATATATACTACATTTTATTTATCCAGGCATCAGTTGATGGATATCTAGGTTGACTCCATATCTCAAGCTATTGTGAGTTGGGCTGCTATAAATATAGGCGTGCAGGTAACTCTTTTATATGCTGTTTTCATTTCCTTTGGCTATAGTCCCAGGAGTGGGACTGCTGGGTCACACAGCAGATCTATGTTTAGTTTTCTGAGGAATCTCCATACTGTCTTCCATAATAGTTGTACTAGTTTACATTCCCACCAACAGTGTATTAGGGTACTTTATCTTTTGAAAGTTTTTATGTAATGAATATAAATTTTCATATGTACAGCTTTTAGGGATATAGTGTTTCTTCCCCCCATTCCTGCTCTCCCACCCAGACTGCCATCCCACCTCCCACTCCCTCTCCCGTTCCATTTTCCATTAAGATTCGTTTTTAATTGACTTTATATACAGAAAACCAACTCTTTACTAAGGAGAGATTTCAACTATTTGCATCCACACAGGCACACAAAGTATAAAGTACAGTTTGAAGACAAATTTTACTGTTAATTCTCATAGTACAACTCATTAAGGACAGAGGTCCAGCATGGGGAGCAAGTGCACAGTGACTCTTGTTGTTGATTTAACAACTGACACTCTTGGGGCTAGCACTGTGGCGTAGTGGGTAAAGCTGCTGCCTGCAGTGCCAGCATCCCATATGGGTGCTGGTTCGAGTCCCAGCTGCTCCATTTCCAATCCAGCTCTTTGCTATGGCCTGGGACAGCAGTAGAAGATGACCCAAGTCCTTGGGCACCTGCACCCATGTAGGAGATCTGGAAGAAGTTCCTGGATCCTGGCTTCAGATCAGTGCAGCTCTGGCCGTTGTGGTCATTTGGGGGAATGAACCAGTGGATGGAAGACCTCTCTCTCTCTGCCTCTCCTTCTCTCTCTGTATAACTCTTTCAAATAAATAAATATTTAAAAAGCAAAAAAGTGACACTTATTTATGATGTCAGTGATCACCTGAGGCTCTTGACATGAGCTGCCAAGGCTATTAATGTCTTCTGAGTTCTCAAACTCCGTCGGTTTTTAGACAGGGCCACATGCAAAGTGGAAGCTCTCTCCTCCCTTCAGAGAAAAGTACACCCTGCTTTGATGGCCCCTTCTTTCCACTGGGGTCTCACTCACAGAGATCCTTCATGGAGAACAATTTTTGCCACTATGTCTTGGCTTTCCTTGCCTGCAATCACCACATCCTGGCTCATCAATGTTTTATAATTTTTATTGTAGAGATCTTTCACTTCTTCAAATTTATTACTCAATTTTTGATGGCTATTGTGAAAGGGGTTTCTTTTCTGATTTCTCTTTCAGTGAGATATTATTGGTGTATAAAATTACTACTGTTTTTTGTATGCTGATTTTGTATCCTACAACTTTACTGAATTGAGTTGTCAGTTCTAACAGCTCTTTTGTGGACTGTTTAGGTTTTCCCATGTACAAGAGCATGTCAAGTGCAAACACGTATATTTGTATTTCTTCCTTTTCAATTTTGACATGGGAATTTGACAAGGGAATTGCCAGTCCCTTGCTACTCACATGGTAAGACTGGACAAGTCTTTATTGCTCTCTTTTCCCTAATTGTTGTTGCTAATGCTTCCAATTAGCTGTGACTCTCAGATGTATAATGTGGATACAACTTTCTCCAGGTCCTGTGTGTGCCATGACAAATGTATGGGCTTATACCATCAAGAGCCCAAGTTTCAGCATTGAAATATGTTAAGGAGAACTTGTCACAGTCCTGTGGGGTGGATAGAGGTTATCCTGAGGATTTCACACTGGCAGGTGTGGGTACTGGTAGGCTCCGCCCTAGATTTCACAGGTTATGTTCTGATGAATCTACTGTTGGTAATACAGTGTCTCCAAGAGAGGAGGTGAGGAAGTAGTGGCATGTGGCTGCCATGGTTGGTGTACTTTGTTCCTGTCTCTCTCCTGGCCTTCAGAGTCCGTGATACTTGTAGATCTCTATAAGTGGAAAGATGGTATCCCCTGGCAAGATAGCCAGGATAACAGTAGCAGTGGCAGCAGGGAGCAGTGGCAGTAGCATCTCACCCTGCCCCTGTCTTTCTCTTTCTCTGTCTCTCTCCCTCCCTTTGCTGGATTTTGGAAGTTCTGTGTGCCATTTGCAGTTTTCATCACTTCTTTACTGACTTCCATTACTAGCTGGCCTGGGAGAGCTGGCCTGAATAGAAGGCAGATGGCATCTCTAAAAGAAAGCTAGCCAGCTCCAGTAAGCTCTTTTCTCTTCCCTAGTTCTGACTCAGTTAAAATTGTTCCAAGTTATGGGATGATTCCAGGTGCTAACTCTTACATTTAAGGTTTTATTTCCAATTTTGGGGGGTGACCAAAAAACACACAGATTTTGCATTCTGTTTAAGTAAGTAATCGATTGTATTATCTGTCTCTCCTTAAGTTCTAATTGTTTATAGATAAGGTAGTCATCATGTTTGATGTTAAAGTGAGGACACAGCTTTCCTCATGGGCATTGTCTACCTCACAGAAAAACCATGAGAACATGTCTGTAACTGTAGATTTTTATCTCAGGCCACTAAAGAGTAGGAATGGGACTGAGCACCCCCATGACTTGCTTCCTCTTAAAGTCTTCCTCCGCGGTCTCCTTTACCAGAGACCAGGAGGAAAGAAAAGCAACCTAGGCAATGGTAGCAATGTAAGACGGGTGGCAGGCCAATCAATGGCTGCTTTACACAGTGATCTGCCATCAAGCAGACCCAATAGGCCAGTCCACTGCAAATGGCATTGGTTTTCCATGTGGGAAGCCAAGGCTTCAGATGGAGAAGTCAGCTTTTGGAGAGCCTTGGCAGCTCTGCCAGCCAAGAGCTGGGTCACTGGAAATAGAACTGCCCTGGGGCTGCAGGACTCCTGGGTCAGAGCTACAGACCCTGTTGGCTCTAGGCTGAAAAAAGCTCTTCACTCGGCTCAGCTTCCAAAGTAACCACCACTGTTGAGGGGACGGCCAAGGACTGTCAGTAACATTGTAGGCAGAACTGTAAATTTCTTTTTAGAGATGCCGTCTGCCTTCTCACACGTTTTAATGTACTACAGCACAAAATATTTTTAGATTTAAGATTTAATTCATGAATTATAAATAAGTATATTTTAAAATTCTGTGAGTTGGGTTATCTTCCTAATTTCCAAATATTTTCAGATTTTTTCCCAGTTATCTTTGGAAACAACTCAATTATCCAACAGTAGACTAATGGTTAATATATTATGGCACATTCACATAATGGAAAAATAAACTTCATTGGTTATATGAGAATCTTTACCCTTTTCAATACTAATAACTACTTCTTTAAATTATAGAGAAAAATAAAAGATTAATTAATCTGAACATCTTATAAACACAGTTATTGGCCATTGGTACTTCTCTTGTGAACTGTTTGTTCTTATCCTTTGACCATTTTATATAATGGAATTCATATTTTATTAATTTATAAAATCTCTTTGTATGTCAGGCAAGAAAAAATGAAGAAGTTCTTGAAGTTTATCTTTTTTTAAAAAAAGATTTATTTTATTTATCTGAAAGACAGAGTTATAGAGAAAGGTAGAGCCAGAGAAAGAAAGAGGTCTTCCATCTGCGGATTCACTCCTCAAATGGCTTCAATGGCCATAACTGAGCTGATCTGAAGTCAGGAGCCAGGAGCTTCTTCCGGGTCTCCCACATGGGTGCAGGGCCCCAAGTGCTTGGGCCATCTTCTACTGCCTTCCCAGGCCATAGCAGAGAGTTGGATCAGAAGTGGAACAGCCAGGACTTGAACTGGCGCCCATATGGGATGCCGGTGCTGCAGACCAGGGCTTTAACCTGCCGCACCACAGTGCCAGCCCCATGATAGAAATTTTTGAATGCCTACTATAATACCAAGTGTTGTGCTTAGTATTTCAAATGACTCAGCTCAATTAAAATTAAAATTTTTACTTTCTGAAATTCCTCAACTGCCACATGAGCCATAAAGAAGGTTGAAAATAAAACTCTTCAAATAAAGCAAGCTCAAATCATAAAACCAAGTTATACCTCTAGTCTGGAAATGCCAATGTATGAAGTTTTGAAGTAACTATCTGTGTTTCTGTGTAGAAGTAAAAACAAATCTTCTGGAAATAGGGGCGAGGGGGAATGAAGTTTTAGATAGAGTTACGTTCAAGGGACATTCAAGCTTTCCTTGGAGGCTGAGCAAGACAGTGGCTGAGTAGAATGTGCCAGTGATCATCTACCCATAGAGACACCAATTCAAACAGCTATTTATGAAAAGCCCACCTCTTTTCACCAGCTTAGAGTAATGCTCCTGCATGCCTCTCACATGGGGGAGAAAAATTTAACTATAGGCCTCAGACTTGAAACCTAGTACCAGGTCCTCCACTGAGAAACCCACACGGCTCTTGCCCCCAGGGCCAGTGACTACAAATCAAGCTTCTAAACCCATCAATAAAGGAACTCCTCCACTGCCCCTCCCCTAACCTCCAGCCGCTGAGTCAGTGCAGAACTTTGCCTTAAAGCTCAATACTGGGCCTGCTATGGTGGGACTCAGCACCAAAGCCCAAAGGCCCCTATCTCCAGGCCAGTGCTTACAGATGGAGCCTTTAGCAGTACATTCTGAACAAGATGCCAACTGTAGATATGGGATGATCATGGTATAGGAGTGCCCCCTAGTGCTGAAACAGTAACACACTAACAGCAGTCATGCAACACTTAGGCGCCACCTAGTGCTGAAATAGAGTGTTCACAGGTTCAGAAAAAAGTAAGCAGACTGCTTAGAATTTCTGAAAGGCAGGCATACACAAATGAAGACTGGAAAAAAAATTCAACTTTCAATTCACAGATGATTTCATACACCAACAGATATCAAGAACTTGCAGGGAAACCTGACCTTATGTAATAAACAAAATAAAATATCAGAACCTGACCAGATAGAAACTGACATATGTAAATTTGGGATGAAGAATTTAAAAGTTATTTAAGTAAACAAAACGATTAAGGAAAAAACAGAGAAACAATGCTTTAACAGAGAGACTTAAGAGAGATAGGATCAAATTTTTTAAAAATCAGAGGTGGCTGACACAATAGTTAAGATGCCATGTGGGACAAGCACATGCCATATTGGAGTGTCTGGGTTTCAGTCCTTACTCTGCTTCCCATTCCAGCTTCCTGTTAATGTGGACTCTGGGGGCAAGACAATGGCTAAAATACTTGGGTCCTTGCCACTGATATGGGAAATTTGGACTGAATTCTGGGCTCCTGGCTTAAGCCTAACCCTGACCTGACCATTGTGGGCATTTGATTAAGTTACTAGATGGAAGATATCTCACCTTCTGTGTGTATGTCTTTCAAATCAGTAAAATAAAATTTTAAAAATCAAATATAATGGGCCTGCACTGTGTAAAGCTGCCGCCTGTAATGCTGGCATCCCATATGGGCTCTGGTTTGAGTGCCAGCTGCTCCACTTCTGATCCAGATCCCTGGTAATATGCCTGGGAAGGCAGCAAAAGATGGTTCAAGTCCTTGGGCCCCTGCACCCACATAGAAGATCCGGAAGAAAACTCCAGGCTCCTGGCTTTGGATCAGCTCAGCTCCGCCCGTTGTGGCCATCTGGGGAGTGAACCAGTGAATGGAAGACTTTCTCTCTCTCTCGCTCTCTGCCTCTGCCTATACTTCTCTGTAATTCTGCCTTTCAAATAAATAAATAAATCTTTTTTAAAAAATCAAACATAAACCCTGAATTGAAAAGTACACCAAGTGAAATTAAAAATACAATAGAAAGCATCCATGGCAGAATAGATCAAACAGAAGGAATTAGCTCAAAAACAAGCTATTCGAAAATACAGTCAGAAGAGGAAAAAGAAGAACGAACGAAGAATGAGGAAAATTGAAGGTAACTTTGGGATAGCATTGAAAGAGCAAATATCCAATTTACTTGAGTTCAAGGGGGACTTGAGGAGGACAAATGGGTAGAGAGTATATTCAGATAGATGCCTGACTGCAGACTTCCCTGTAGAAAACTTACAGGCCAGAAGAAAGAGGGATAAGACTTCCACCGCTTATCAAGAAATCTCTACCCAACAAAGCTTAGATATGAAGATGAAATCAAGACATTCCCAAACAAAAACTGAATTTATCACCACCAGACTGGTCCTACAAGATATTCTAAAAGGTCTTCTTCCAACTTACAGACACTAACAAGTAAAAAGAAAATATCAGAAGATAGAAAACTCGTTGAACAGAGATTAGAAGTAATCTCACACACTTACAGCCAAAGGATCTCTAACAAAGGTGACTAAGTGGAGAAAGGAGAGGCTTTTTAATAAATAGGGCAGGGAACATTGCATTTCTGTATGTGGAAGAATGAAAACAGATCCTCTTTCACTATATATGACAATCAACTCAAAATTTATGAAAGATCTAAATGTAAAACCTAAAGCTATGAAAACACTAGAAAAAAAAAACAGGAAAAAAATGCTTCAGGACATTGGAACAAAACAGAATTTTGTGGGTAAAATTCCAAAAACATAAGAAACAATAGCAAAATAGGGCTGGCTGTTTAGCTTAGTGGTTAAGACATCTTGTAGCTACATCCCACGTTGTATTTGTGTTCAACACCTGACTCTGGTTTGTAACTCCAGCTTTCTGCTAATGCAGATCCTAGGAGGCAGCAGTGATAGCCCAAGTGATTGGGCTCCTGCCACCCACATGGAAGCCCTAGCTTCACCTCCTAGTCCCAGCCATTGCTGGCATTTGGGAGTGAAGCAGGGAATGGGACCTCTCTCTCCCCCTCCCTCCCTTCCTTCATCCCTCTTACCTTCTCCCTCACTACTTGTCTCCCTCTAAAATAAATTTTAAGAAAGAAAGAAAAAAAGGGTTTAATCAAAGTTAAGTCTTCTGCACAATGAAGGAAACATTCAACAAATTGAGGAGAAAATCCTCAGAATAGGAAAAAATATTTGCAAATTATACATCTGACAAGGCGTTAATAACCAGAATATAAAAGGAACCCAACTCAATGGCACAGGAACAAAGAATCCAATTAAAAAGTGCACAGCAGATCTGAAAGACAGTTTTCCAAAGACATACAAGTGGTCAACAAGAACATAAAGGCATGCTCGGTGTCACTAATCACTGTACAATAGCCATTAGCAAATAGATAAAAGGTGACAGCTGACAAGGATGTGGAGTAAAGGAAGCCCTCATACATTGTATATAACAACTCCAGCAGTCTTCATCTTTATGTCTAGCACGCTTCTCTTGACTGTTTCCTTATCCAAATGTATAGCACCCCTGAAAATAATACTCTAGTACTTCATTCTCTGGCCATCCTTTCTTACCTGTCTCACTCTGCTACTCCCTAACATTTATTGATAACGGTCCTCTTTTAGATTTTTTATCTGATTAGAAAAAGCTAAATAAAATCTCACTAGATTAAATGAAGCAAAAGTGCATATAGGAAATTTTAACACTATTTTCTCCACCCTTGCCAAATGCATGTAGGATTCTATACCTTTCTCCAAACACACACTAATATTTGTGAACTCACATACACAAACTTGTGAATTACAAAAATGAGTCACTCTGAACTTCATGTGATGAATGGCTCACTAGTTGGCAAATGTAGATCAGATGTATTAAGCAGATAAAATTCTCTGTTTATTCCACGCTTTCCCAACTACAGACCCTCATTGTGGCTCACCTCCAGAAAAGGCTTCACATCCTGACTACTGCAGAAGATCTGCTGACCCCAGAAAGCCTTGAAGAGGCTTCTCTAGCAATGTGATTCTAATATTTGTAGTTGGGGAAAAAGTGCTGCTTATGACTAAGAAAGTCTGGGAGCAGAAAATTTCTCATAGAGACTCAACAGATGGTAACATGTCTCGTGGGCCCACAAGAACTGAAGCCACTCCATCTTTCACCACTTGGTTTGCTGCTGCTTGGCAGATGTGCATGACAGGCCACTGGCAGGTGTTGAGAAAACCACAGCCATGAGCAGGCAAGGGAAAATTAAACCTCCCTTATGGCACTTGGAAAGAAAGATGTCCAGCAGAACAGAAATAAGAGATGCCTCCTGAAGTAGAACCAATGGAACACACACAAGAGAATTTTAATGAAAATATAATGGAATTACAGAACTTAAAAAAGATTTCTTAATTAAAAGTCAACATTCAACAGAAAAAGAGAATGGCTGCTCTTGAAACCACACCAGTGGTCAGAAATCAAGAGGAAAGAAATACCTTACAAGTTATGCAATGACAGACACCCCAAAGTGGGGGCTAAGTCACAGGGAGATCAGATCCAAGAGACCAAACAGGAAGAAGGAAAGAACATGTGGAGACGTAATAGCATAGGCAGTGGAAGGAAACTTTTAGAGCTTAAGAAGAGCTTGAGACCCTGAATATCAAGAATAAGGGAAAATCCTGCAAACCTTTTAGCAGCATGTTGAAACAGGGATGGTGGAAAACTGGAAGCAGAGACACTGCTCCAGGAAACCAGGGCGCTGACTCAGGGCCCTCACTCTGAGTTTGTTCAACTGGGGGCGACCAGCATGCTCTCCATGGTGCACTTGGACACATTCAGCACAGAGATTGTTAAAGTTCTTCCAGAATCTGACAGATGTCCCTCATCACAGTGTGTCACCAGTAGTGATCACCAACCTTAGGCGTTCTGTGGTGGTCTCTTTCTCCCACAGTCCATCTAAAACACTGCAGGTACCATTTTCTAATATCGTAACTGCAAATCACTTTTATGAGCACCATATGAAAAAGAGATTTATGGATGAGATAAATGCATTACTGTTAAAATAAACTATTGTCCTTATTTATGAAACAAATGCAAAGGTAGTGATCACAGTTAAGAGCAGAGATTCTGGATGACAGCTGCTTAATCGCTATGTGATCTTGAGTAAGTGATGTAACCTTTCTGTGTCCTAGTGTCCCAAAAAGCAAGTAATCAATACACATCTGGCATATCACAAATCCTTAATAAATAATAGCAGTGCTGCTGCTGGCTGCTGCCACCGCTTCAGCCACAACAGGAAGACAGAACTTTAGTTTTGGAGTCAGAAGACTTCTGAGGACAAATGCCAACTGTAAACTTGAGTTCTATACAGCAGCAATGGCAGTTGATCCCTCTAGCTTACAGTTTTCCCATCTGAAACAGGACAGTGACTACCTACCTCATTCATCATCCATCCACCCTTGCACACACTGAGTACTTGCTATTGTGTAGGGACTGGGATACAAACCTGAATAAGTTACAGCTCTGCCCTTCAGGAGTGCAGTCGAGGGAGCAACACTCAAGGGCCTTCGTTTCCTTTCATGTGGGCATTTCTTAAGGCTCCTTTTGCCTGAGGAGAATGAAGAAAGCCCTCCAGGGTCTAGTATGTTTTTTAGTACCATAAGTATGATAATTTTAAAAAGGGTAGGGGTGGTGGTAGGTAGGGACCAGCATTGTAGCACAGCAGGCTAAGCTGCCACCTGCAATCTCAGCATTCCATATGAGTGCAGGTTGAAGTCCCAGCTGCTCCACTTCTGATCCAGCTCCCTGCTAACGCACCAGGAAAAGCAGAAGACATGGGAGACCTGGAAAGAGTTCCCAGTTCCTGGCTTTGAGCTGGTCCAGCCCCAGGCTGTAGTGGCCATTTGGGGAGTGGACCAGCAGATGAAGATATCTTGCTCTCTCTCTCCCTCTCCCTAGATTTCTCTGTAACTCTGCCTTTCAAATACAGAAATCTTTTAAAAAAATTTACAAATAAAAATGTAAAAAGGTAACACTGATCTCATTAGCAATTGAGGGGCAAAAAATATGGCCGGTTTGTAACATTCTATGTGAGTCTTTGCTATTTTAAGAAAAAAAAAAAAATATCAGGGGCTGGCTCCCACAGGGTAGGAGACTACAGGGAACAAGTTGTGGATCTCTCTTCTACTTCATCCCAATAATAAAGATCTCTAAAGCTTCTTGGTGTTGAAAGTGCTTATTTTGATCATCCCATGTGAGTTGGCCATGCAGCAGCTGGAACAAGTTGTTCCCCTTTAATCTTTTGGTGAACTCAGGTCAGGGGCTTTAGAAAGTCTGCAATAATAACACCAGATAATCACTAAGGTAAAATGAACAAGAAACCAGGATAGCCTGAATGCTTCTTCTTTATAAAGACACAGTGTCCTATTTTCACTATGCAATAGCTATCTATGACTTAGTATTTTATTTTTAAAAACTAATAGAAATAAATAATAGGTCTTATGGTCAAATACAGCATTATCAAACATTAAAATTCAGAATATTTACTTTATTACAATTATACAGCACCACAATATAAAACAATTATATACATTACTTAAAATCATGCATTTGGCTCATAATTGGCCTAAATTTATAATAAATTTAGTAGAATGGTAGTCACAAATCTTTCAAAGAGTGATTCTGACTTCTATGTGTGTGAAAAATATTCTAAAAGCCAATATAATTTTAAAAGGAATCACACCAGAGCTACATAAGAATTATCCAGAAAAAAAATCATCAAAAAAAATTATCCATACTAAAAGTTACTTTGTTTTCAAGTTTCAAATTAAAAATGTTTCAAAAATTTCTACATAAAAACTCTGATACTACTACCTGTAAATCCTAAAATACAACAACTGGTAACATATTTACATCCTTCTTACCAGTTCACATTTTAGAGGCATAGTAAAATCCTACTGCTCTTAGAAAATAAATTCCACAATTTATCCAAACATTGTTACATAAGAAGCTTTAAGAAACCGTAAATAATTCTTAATACTCTCATTTTGATTCTCCGACATCTCAAGGCTATGTTGTATTTCTTTCAAACACACTTCCTGATGTTGAGCTTTCTAAATAATAAAAAAATACAGATAATCAGTTAATAGCATTCATATCAAAAAATAAGTCACAATACAAAGTGCATACATGAAAAACCATTCACTTCAAGATTTAAATAAGGACTCCTCACATCTAAAGTGTTCATTATTAACTTAAGGTTCACTGTCTTTAAAATTAGAAATTAAAGCATACACTTGGTTGATACCAATTGTAATAAAGTTTATTATAATGCATTTGTTTAGCCTCCAATTATCACATATTTCATAGGATTCATATAATCAATGAGTTTTGTTTAAAGCTGTCATAACTAACTGCCATTACATTTAACATATTTTCATACTAATTTTTCTGCCTAAAATTTGATATTTTATGTCATAAGAACGATCTCTGCTGTCTTAAAAACTAGAATTTTGGTTTTGTTAATGTGAACATTTTAACTTTAGAATCCTTTAAAAAATAACTCTTAACATGATAGCTTTTCTTTTTAAAAAAATTAAAGCCCAATAGACTTTTTAAATTTCTGTCGCACATAAATTCTTAAATAGAACTGCTCATTGTAAATGGTTTAGAGAAAGGTTGTAAATACTATCCAGCTTTCAACTGAAATCTAGACACCTGGGAAAGCCACCCCATGCACACCCTTCTCCCCAGGTGTTGGATGCTGCAGACCCAAGCCAAGCCCCGTGCTTGAAGGTGTGGGGTGAGGCCCGTGCTAGAACGAGCTGTCAGATGCCGCGATGCTTTACGGAGCAGCAGCTTTACTCAACAATCTGGAGAGAAGCACTGTCACGCAAAGGCACTTATACTGTAGAGCAGAATGTACCATGTGAGCAGTTTCAGCATGATACATAAAACTTCAGAGCCATTCCAGGCTGCGGGTGTGCCGTGGGCGGCACCTATCGCACCAGTGTACGGTCAGCGAAGGCTCCCCAGGCACTCACTGTTCAACTGGGGCTCCAGTGTGCATCTAAAGTAAATACTTTTTTTGGGGGGGGAGGGCGGTGCTGTGCCATAGCGGGTAAAGCTACCACTTACAGTGCCAGCATCCCATATGGGTGCCGATTTAAGTCCTGGCTGCTCAACTTCCGATCCAGCTCTGTTATGGCCTGGGAAAGCAGTGGAACATGGCCCAAGTCCTTGGGCCCCTACACCTGAGAGGGAGACCTGGAAGAAGCTCCTGGCTCCTGGCTTCAGATCCACACAACTCCAGCCATTGTGGCCATTTGAGGAGTGAACCAGCGATGAAAGACACACTCTATCTCTGCCTCTGCCTCTCTGTAACTCAAATAAATAAATCTTTAAAAAAAAAAAATACTGACCTGTCCATTGAACCACCCCACCCCATGGAAGGCAAAGAACACAAGGACCAATTTCTCAGCTGGGTCTAAATCTGGGCTTAGCATTCTAGATTCCTCACTGGTACAAAAATTTAACAAAGCATTTAAGATTTATTTGAAAGGCAGAGTTACAGAGAGAAGGAGAGAAAAAGAGAGAGATTCAGGTCTTCCGTCCTCTGGTTTGTGGGGAGCAACTCGGACTAGACTAAGTTACTGGAATTAAGACTTATTCTATGCATCTGCTCTCCCACAATATGGCGCTGAGAAGGGAGTAAACAACTTCTATGCAGCTGCCTCTCGCCAACTTGAGTGATGACCTACAGGAGCTGATCCTGCTCCTGATTGGAGGAGAGCAGCGTACTCAGCGTGTGGGTAGCAGAGTTGGGATTGGCGGAAGAGGACTATAAAGGAGGAGAGAGACAACATGCACCAGGAACATCTAAGGGGAACATCCGGATAACATCTGAGCAGCCCCCGAGAGAGCCGGCCGGCGGTGTGCCGCTCCCCCACGGAAGTGGGGAAAGTGGCAGGGGGAGCCGCCCTTCCACGGAGGTGGAAGGATCGGCAGCCAACCCGGGAAGAACCAGCAGCAAACCCGGGAAGGGCCGAGCAGACAAAAGAACAACGCAGGGTCTAGTGTCGTTCCTCCACGAAGAGGGGGAGCGACACTGGTTCACTCCCCAAATGGCCGTAACAATGGCCGTAACAGCCAAGGCAGGACAAGCCAAAGCCAGGAGCCAGGAGCTTCTTCCAGGTCTCCTATGTAGGTGCAGGGTTCTAAGAACCTAGACAATCTTCTATTGCCTTCCTAAGCACATTAGAAGGGAGCTGGATGGGAAGTGGAGTAACCGGGACTCGAAGGAATGCTCATGTGGGATGCCAGAGTTGCAGGTGGTGGCTTTACCTGCTATGCTACAAAGCAGACCCCAAAACATGATTTTAAGCTATTTACTTCAGTAGTTTTAGACCAGTAGTGAGAATATTAGAGTAAAACCCATCTCATCTCATCTTACTTTTTCAGAGGCTTCATTCACACAAATAACATTACATGTATTTTAAATATCAGAAAAAATGATGGTGAATAAAAAATTTTAGAAATAAAAGGAAAATCTGTACTAAATTAAAAATGACTGCTTTGTTCAGATTAAATTGTCATAAAATTTTTATGGCACTAGAACTAAATAATAATTGCATGCCAAAAATTATTTAGGTTTTTAACATTTTAGACATTTGGGAATGAAAGAGCCACTTTCATGGAGTCTGGCTCCAGGAAAAAATAAAGTATCAAACTCGATGTCATTATTAAGTAGATAGTTAGTAAGCAATTTAATCACAACAAATGTAAGCTTTTAGAGTATCTTATGCCAATTGACTATTTCATGAATATTCTGGAAAAAAACATTAGAAGACTAATTGGACACAGCCAATCTGGTTTTCTCATTTCATGGCTGAGTGGACCAAAGCATCTATCTCATATGGAGTAGATATAACAAGCGTGACTATTTACTTAACACCAAATTTTAACTTCCTAAAAACATAATCATGATTCAAGCAGATATAAAACTAACTCCTAATGATGGCTTAAATTGTGCTTATCTTTAAAAAATTATAAATTCATACCACAAAGAAAGTCCATAGCTTCACTAAGCAGCTGTCATGCAGGCAAAGCGCCTGAAGAGACTTGGGGGCAACACAAGACTTAACTGCCAAGAGGGGTGGCCAGAAACTTCTGCAGCATGCTCCTGACAGTTGCATCTTTTGGGTTTTAATTATTTGCTAATTTTCTTTTACATAAAAGAGGATTTATTTATTTGGAAGTCAGAATTACAAAGAAAGAAGGAGAGATCTTCCATCCGCCAGTTCACTTCCCAGATAGCTGCAATGCCCAGGGCTGGGCCAGGTGGGAGCCAGGAGCCAAGAGCTTCTTGCAGGTCTCCCACGTGGGTATGAGGGGCCCAAGCATTTGTGCCGCCCTCCACTGCTTTTCCCAGGTCATCAGCAGGCAGCTGGGTGAGAAGTGGGGCAGCCGGAACACAAAGCAGTGCCCACGTGAGATGCCAGTACTGCAGCTTTACCTACTCTACCACAATGCCAGCCCCATGTTATTTTCAATATTATCACTAAAGCACTAACCTTAAGATTCTTCTTCCTTTGTAACTGAACTGTTTAACTAAACTACATGGTAAGGAAGCTAAATGTGATTTTTTATATTAAGCCACACCAATACTTACATTGTTCATTTTGCAAATAAGTTGATTTTGTTCTTCATTTTTCTTTCTAAGCTCAGTTTCCAGATCTAATATTTTAATTTGTAAAGCCCTCTCTCTAGACGATAGTTTCTCTATTTCTTCAGAGACCTGAAATTTTTATTAAGAGAGTTAAATAACTAAATATGCTTTCTTTAAAATATAACTTAAAGCCTTGACAGAGTTACAGTCCACCTCTTTCTCCAGATAGGTCTTAACTGGGAATCAGATAATTCAGTTAGCAAATATTTAAAGATGTTCTATATCAAAAACCTAGTTTGTGGGAGTATGTATGCTTACCTTTGCAGCATGACTACCTGTAAGATTAGCTTGAGATGTTAGAGATAAGATACCTTTTCTTGGCTTTGTGACTTGGGCAGGTGTTTTCACAACAGTCTATTTTTAAACATAATGAGACCCATTGCCATTTTAAATAGTACTTGCATTCACCATGGTGTCTAGAGCAGTGGTGGCACAACAGAAAGCTCTCATTTCATGCTGATTATACACTTGGACAGGCACAATTTGGGGGCGAGGGATAACATACTTATTCCTCGCATATACACCCGGCATCGGCTTCTCATTTATCCTATTCCATATGAATAGAATGAATAGAAACTCTAGCTTAGCTATATGCTTACTCAAGGATTAGATATCTGAGAGTCTACTTTTCAGAATGTTCGGTCAGAGCCACAGAATGGAAGTGGAGGGATGGGTTGGTGCTGGAGCAAGGAGCTAGAGAGAAGGACTGTCATCTAATCTAACTCCTATGGACAAAGTTCTAAGTTAGTAGAAAGTGAGTTACAAAGATTTCTTCTACACCAATCCCAAGGCGCTGGCTGGAGTTTGCAGTGGGAGAAAAGCCCTCAGGATAAACATCTGGGCTCTTGGCAGGGTTCCCTCAGGGACAGGGAGGGATGGCAAGGCAGCAAGAGCAATCCACACATGGCAGCCTCTCGAGACAGTCCACATTCCACCTCAGCAGGAGAAGAACAGAGGGCGTTCGCCTCTCTGGGGGCCCTAAGTACTTCAGGAAGGAATCCGAGGGTACCAGTCATTTCCAAAGTCCACTCAGGCTGAACCCAAGGTTGGCGGGGCTGAGAAATCTATACTACGTGTCTATTGCTGGCAATACATTTTATATTTAACTTTTCTTCAATGATACATCTGTCAAAGTACATTTACATTGGTTTCCCAGAGCTCAAAAAGTGTGTGTGTGTGTGTGTGTGCGCACGTATGAGAGAGACAGACAGAGATGGACACTTGTGAGGTAATAGCTACATTTCATGAGTGTCAGATTTTATCTTTTATGGAATTGCCATTAATGAACTTTGGTGAGACCACAGAAACAAGTCTGGAGGGGAAGATCCAGAAACTGGTGTGAGACATTTTCAGTTTGAGATGCCCACGTGAAATGGAAATGCCAAGTGAATAGTGGGATATGAGTTGAGATTCCAGTGGGGAGAGGGGAATGAGTGAAGAAATGCATTTGAGAGTCATCAGGACACAGATGATAACTTTCCAGCATCACTCAGTTCTATACTAATCAAGAAACTCAAGTGTAAAGAAGCAACCTAAAGTAAGGTACAGTATGGAATTGTCAGAGCCAGAATTCAAATCCCATTCCTGTTGGCCTCCGAAGTCCAGCTTCTGTCCTTTCTAATGGTGTTTTCAACCAATATGCCTCTTCTCTGAGATCTTCCTGACTCATCATTTGCCTTCACCTCCAGATTAAAATAACCACTGCTTCCAGTGTACCTTGAACCCATAGTCGGTTACAGCAGTTACATGTGGGACAGCATTCACTAGTTCCCACACCACTCCTTACTACGCTGTGTGCATCCTGAGAGCTGAGGCCAGGCCAGCACTGGCAGACAGAGCCTGACACATAGGGAGGCACTGGGTTAGGCTGAATGGTAACCTGATGAATTTAACTGGAATTTTATTCTTGTATCTACTTACTTAGGCAACAGTCTTTGTCAAGAGACTTGAGATTCAGAGCCCACCAGACCAATCAAAACCAAAATTCCAATTCTCTGTACACTCAAGTTGTTTTTATATTAAAAATGAAGGGCATGGGGGGAGGTGTTAATGCCTTCAAGGTGTTTTTCCCCTTCAGCCCTAGACTGCCACATCACCATTGATCCACTGCAGCAACTCTGAACCAGTAATGGATCTGTTTTGCTCCAAATGGACAGTAGGTAAAAAAACAAAAATGCAATTGCTCCCTTCACCCTGTCATCAGGACAAAAACAATCACAGGCTTGGCAGGATGAGATATCGTCTGGTTAAAAACAACTCTTTGGTAAACTAATTAAAAAGTTGCTAAATAAAGGCTATCTGTACCTTTTGTCTGCCTTCCTCCAAAGCAGCTTCCAGTTGCCTGGACAAGGCTGCGTATTCTGCAGATTTCTCTTTAAACTTCAGATTGCTCTGCTTAAGACACTCTTCTTGGTTTGCCAGCTTCTTTTCAAGCTCTTTGTTTTCTGCATCCATCTGTTCCAATTTTCTTTTTACAGAAAATATAGATTTTAAAATTAGTGTAGAAAAAAAAACCAACACCAATGTTAACTCAATTTAAGACTTACTGTTTAAGGTTTTCACACTTCAACTGAATAAGATAATTTTCCTCTTCCAGAGAGAGCTTTGCTAGAAGACTGTGATTTCCTTCGACCTAAAAGTAAAAATAAAGGTTTTCATGGCTATTTTGTTCAAGATCAACTTCCAAAGAAATCTACATATTTTACTGTTAGAAAAACCATAAGAAATAAGAGGATATAAATATTAGTATTACTCCTACACAGAAAGAAAACAAGAAATGTCACACTGTTAAAATATAAGTTCTTATATTCCTGATTCATTTTTAAAAAAAAAACTATATTCTTATGTTCCTATAACTGGAAATTTTTCTGGAAAACAGCAATTAAAATATTCTTAACAATACTTTATGGAAAAAGAATATTTATTAAGTTGAACTATGAACACTTTAAATATTACTTACTTCCTATTTTTGGATACTTTTTATTTACAGTTTTTTTTTTCAACTAAAAATAATAACTGATAGCTGTGTATCTGTGAAGCTGCATTATAAAGTAAAAACCATGTGTTTTTAAGAAGCAAAATAAACAAATCAACCAAAGACACACTTGCCCATGGCAAAAAAAGATTCTGTCCACTGCTTCACAAGCTGATTTAAATAATTAAGCAGCTTTGATAATAAAATAAACTTTAACTAGTAATTCAGGTTAACATATATAATTTGATGTTTTCCTAGAAAAATCTCTTCCCAGGGATTGAAGGTCACCAAAACTGTGTGTGCATTTTTGTTTTGAAATTTTCATTATTTATTTGTGTGTGTGTGTGTGTGTGTGAGTGAGAGAGAGAGAGAGAGAGAGACATACAGAGAGAGAGAATATGAGACACAGCTCCCACTTCTTGGTTCAGTACCCAAAAGCCCAACATAGTCAGGTCTGGGTCAGGGCTGAACTGGAAACCAGAAACACTATTCAGGTCTCCCACATGAGTGGCAGGAATTCAATTAGTTGAGCTACCACAGTTGCCTCCAGCATTTGCTTTAGCAGGAAGCAGGGATTAGGAGCCACAGCAGGAATTTCAATGTGGGCCATGGGTGTCTTAACTGGCAATTAAATCACTAGGGTATATGCCTGCCCATGCATTTTTTTAAAAATAGGATGTATTTCAAAATTAAAATCCATACTGTAATTGCAAGACAGGGATTCCTTCAAACTGTTCTGTAAATGAAAAATGAAAAAGCTTGCCACCGTCCTTGGACATGCTTCTCTGGAAAAAGTAATTACATAATATTTATTGAGTGTTGACTATGTGCTGGTCATTGAGCTAGGAAACTATGTGGTGGCTAACAGACATACATGATACATGTTTTACTGTGATGGAGTGAAAAAATAACATACTGTGAAAAATAAAGATTGAAAATAATCCCAATAGACATGATGCACAATTTGAAGGTAAATTCTAGTTTCTGTAAGGTAAATTACAGTAATTTCCTTATCCTACCATCAGGAAACACATATGTAAGCACAGCTTTACTCCTTCCTTCACACTATCACTACATCCTCAAATGTCTAAATACAGACTCACATGAATAAACTAAATTAGTACTTTCCAATATCAAATTGTCACCATAAAATGCTAAAAGCAGAGCCTGTAAAATGATATTATAGCATGTGCCTGAAAATGATGTTTCAAGAACCAACGTAGATGGGACTAAAACAATCAACCCCTGTCACAAGTGCCCTCAAGTGGCGAAATCAGTCCAAAGCGTTCCTTCACACATCCAGCAGAACTCAGAACGACCGCTGGACACCTGGCCCTGCAGCTGCCTAACGGTGTGCGCCTGGTCTGCACACGTCCCCTTGCAGCGCTGCAGGCTCTCCTGACACTCGTGAAGCCTCCGCTCGGCCGCCGTCAAGGACTCGCGCACGTGCTCTAACTCCTGCATCTGAGACTCCATCTGGCCTCTCATCTGAGTGGTGGCATTGGGGGAAACAAACGCAAGAGCACACATTCAGCATTAGTATTTCTACTATCTTAAGTGCTAAGTATGCTTGTCACATAACAAGTACATTAGGCATAATGACTTTAAATAAAGAGATGTAACAGAATAAACGAGAATGCATATTACTTTAAACAGTAAGTAAGAACATATAACTATAAAGTGGGCTGGACTTCAGCTTTCAAACAGTTTGTTGAACAAAGAAATTCAGTAATACTAACTGGCAGGGAGAAAGGAATCTTTTCATTATATTCAAGCATAGAGAGTAGTATTAATAAAGCCAGTCGAGTTTTCTCCCCTCCAGACATTGATTCTAAAGTAATTCTCACTTTTAGTGATTCAGTCTTATAAATCAGACTTCACTAAATCACAGAGCCTTGTCTCACTCAGCTCAAACTAGTGGGGTTCATTGCCATTATTTCAAGATAGGTAACAGCATCAGTGCTCACTTACCACTCGATCATTACTGCTACAAGGAACAAAACTCCCCAATTTTATCTACATTAATCTCTTTGGCTGCACTGTTCTTCACTGTCACCCTTTTATGGAGATGTGACAAGCAGCAACCTTAAGAAATGCCTGCACTAGGGCAAGCACTGTGATATAGTGGGCTAAGCCTCCACCTGCAGTGCTGGCATCCCATATAGGTGCCGGTTCATGTCCCAGCTGCTCCTCTTCTAATCCAGCTCTCTGAGTATGGCCTGTTAAGGCAGTGGAGGATGGCCCAAGAGGTTGGGCCCCTCCAACCACGTGGGGCTCCTGGCTCCATTGCAGCTGGCTGGGGTGTGAACCAGCAGAAGGAGGACATCTCTCTCTGTCTCTCTGTAGCTCTACCTTTCAGTTAAATAAATAAATTTTTTTTAAAAAAATGCATGCCTGTGCTTCTAATTAAGGCCACATAGTTGGACCCAGCATTTAGGACACTCACAAGGAGGAAAAACAAGAGGCAGGGCTCTTTCCCAGGGACAGGGAACACCTAGAACTTCTGTGCAACATCAGAAAAGATAAAACCAGAACAAAGTGCACCTGCATCCCCAAAACATCTAAGAGTCCGTGAGAAAACCAGTGGAAAAGAAAAAAGAATAATTTCACTAAAAAAGAACTTACTTTCCTGGTTAAGCACCAGTTACACCACATTGTGACCTCACAGTACCTGGACAACAGGCTGCTGCCCTTTCTGCTCTTTCAGTAGGTTTTTGAATACAGGCTCTTATTTCCAGTGCTGCCTAGCAGAAGAGACATTGTGCTGGTGTGTCTCATGAGATAAAAAAGAGACCAAAGAACATGAAACGGTTTCTTCTCTGGTCTGCTAAAAAGAGGTGAACAATGTTTCTAATGCCGCAGTCAGAGGTGCATTTAGTGGGCTATCTTTTACCTCTGTGAGGGCGCTGGCTCTGACAAACCTCTTCTTCACATTGGCACCTCCCCCTGGCTTCTCACTCCCAAGAGATGGGCTCCCAGCGACTACGGAACCCTTAGTGAACTCAGTTGGAATTGACCACTAACATCCCATGACCTCTCCAGCCTCCTCACCAAAACAGCAGGAAACCCCAAGAAGGGATGCGGTTTCATTTCAAAACTTAGAACTATTCACAAAAACATTCTAACTTGCCAGTACTGGCCTTCCCCTCATCCTGCTGCAATAAGGTGAATAAAGGGAAATGGTGGGGTTTTTTAAAGATATCATTTTTCTTCCAAAAATGCACTCTGCAGAGAATATTTATTTTGCTTTTTTAGACACAAAAGATAAACAAGCAGAAGAAAGAAAGATCAGTTTGCAAACTTATGGTTGATGCTCAGTGGTAAATATTCAGTTTTTTGAAGTAAGTCTGCTCCTATATCAGAAAAATTAAACATTTATGCTACTTCCCAAATATGAAGGAAAAAGTCAAAGAACATTCATATAAACAAACAACATTTCAAGCCTGGAAGAAACTTTATTTCCTTAGGAAAAGAACTCCCACAAAGATTGAGAATAGATCACGCCTAGGTAGGAACTAGAAAAAATTATCAAAATGAAGAAATCTAGATAATTTTCATAAAGTTAAAAACACATATATAAAGTATTATTTGATTATCTGAAATTTTAAACTTACCTTCTCTAATTTTTTATCTTTTCTTTTTGTTATTAGTTTATTTTCATGTAGCAAATTTTCACATCTGTTTTTTACCACTTCAGCTGCTTCTTGCAACTTTTGTACCTGAAAATAGAAAACATCACTACAGCAATATGTATTAAGATCTCACATGAAATAAAAAGCTAAAAATCCAATTTTTATGTAAATAAATCATTATTACTCTATCAATGCCTAATGCTACTCCTTCTTTAAATATGAAATCATTAAATTCTCTACTCTTATCCATAGTCCTTTCATAATTTACCTATCTTCTCCCATCAGTTCTAGTCTCCTCCATTGAACTCTGAAGGCTACAGGCATTTTCATTTCCAGGTAAATGCTATTTAACGAATCAGTCTCTGGCCCAAATGGGCTCCCATTTCAATTATTTTCCCCAGAAAATCAAAATCTATTCAAAAAACATCTGAACGTGTTACACAAAGCCCAGCAGCAGAATACGGGAATTCATCCCCTGTATTCTTGCTGAGGGATTAGATCTGTTCTTCCCTCCAACCCCGGATGTCTCAACTCTATTTTATCATCCAATCCATTCAGATGCAGCTTCTTCCTACTTGTGCATACTTTGTCCCCCTAAGCTTTTACTCTTGGATCAACATTCCTTAATTCAAACTCTCTTCTAATAAAATCAGGATTTTTATTGATCAGCTTGTTACCCATCATGCAAGGACCTGCGTTAAGTCTTGTCTTTTTCACAAAAATGTTTTTTAATATAACATTTCCAATTCCTATAAATTACCACTAAACATATGCTCTACTTCATAAATATTGTCACAGGTTCTTTTCTAGGCCTTTCATGTGAATATATCTTTTTTTTTCGGGGGGTGGGGGGGTGGGGAGTGTCCTGGGCTTTAATGGCCCCAGAAGGGAGGCATTACTCTATCAGGGGTAGGGAATATATGGCCCAAGAACCTTATAAAGCCCACAAAGTCATTTGGTCTGGTACCACCAAGACAACCACAGGCAGGACTCAAAATTCAATAAACTTGTAGCAGGCTTATTTTTTATAATACAAAAGTTGACAAGAATGATGTTATAAATTTACAAACAGCCCTTGGCAGATAAAAGGCTCCATATCCCTGCTCTAAATCAATACCATTAAATATAAGAAACAAATATAAACAAGATTACTAAGATTATACATTAAAGTTCATATAACAGTTATATCACTAATTTTAAATCTATTTTTTGGTATACCCAATACATCCACAGGTAGTGTTTGAGTCAGGAATTAAAAACATCTATTTATTTGAGACCATAAGAAATGCTCTGGGGAGCCAGCATTATGGTGTAACGGATTAAGCCCCACCCCATGCAATGGCAGTATCCCATATGGGCACTGGTTCATGCTGCAGCTGCTCCACTTTCGATCCAGCTCCCTGCTAATGTGCCTGGGGAAGCAGCTTAAGACAGAAGATCCAGAAGGAGGTCCTGGCCCTGCCTTGGCCACTGTGGACATTTGGGGAGTGAACCAGCAGATGGAAGATCTCTCTCCCTCTCTCCCTGTCTTTCTATCTCTGTAACTCTGCCTTTCAAATAAATATATAAATCTTTTTTAAAAAGAAAGGAGCGACCGGTGCTGTAGTGTAGCCAGAAAACCACCACCTGCAGTGCCAGCATCCCATATGGGCACTAGTTTGAGTCCTGGCTGCTCTCTGCTATGCCTGGGAAGGCAGTGGAAGATGGCCCAAGTCCTTGGGCCCCTGCACCCATGTGGGAGACCCAGAAGAAGCTCCTGGTTCCTGTCTTCAGATCGGCTCAGCTCCAGCAGTTGTGGCCATTTGGGGAGTGAATCAGCAGATGGAAGACCTCCCTCTCTCTCTCTCTCTCTCTCTCTCTGCCTCTCCTTCTCTCTCTGTGTAACTCTTTCAAATAAATAAATATTTAAAAAAAGAAAGGAAAGAAGGAAATGCTTGGGACTTATCATATAATATCACAAAATAATGGCCCCACCTCTCTTCAGTTCCATTTGGTTTAATGGCAAGCAAACACAGTATTTTCAACTGCCAACCAATTTTAGCAAACATTGAAATAGATGAATTGGTCACCTGAGTTTTATATACTTCAATAAGGGCTTTCTGTTGTTTTTCCACTTCTTGTAATTCTAAGAGTTCATTTTCAACAGAAACCACCTCATCCTTCAAAGAAGCAAGTGTAGTCTAGCAAGGAATACATAAACAAATGTCTTTAAGTCATTAGAATACACCTATAGTGCAGTGCCACAGAATTCTAAAAACATAACTGACTTACCACCTAACTTAATAAAATAATTCTTTCACATATCATTACAATTCTAAACTTAGAAATTTTAAAAAGTTAGTGACTAATACTTACAAACAACCTTAATAAGAATTACACAGGAGATCACATGTTTTGTAAAACTTTGAAAAATTTACTGACAAAGAAAGACCTGGAAACTTAACTTTGTTTCTAGATTGAAGGAATCAATATTCTGGATATACCAGTCAGTGTTTTCCAGATCCATTTAACAATTAATAATTTCAATCAAAATTATAACAATTAGAAGAGATATGACAAAATTAATTTAAAATTGACATGAAAGAGTAGTTAAGAAAACAATTTTGAAAGGAATGCTAAGTGGAGAATCTAAGTAATTATTAGATACTAAAATGTATAAAGAATTAAAATTATTATGAGACTAATATAAGAATATAAAGATCAATATAAAGAAAAATACTTAAAAATTATATAATAAAGGTTGGGGTTCTAAGCCGGCACCACAGCTCAACAGGCTAATCCTCTGCCTAGCGGTGCCGGCACACCAGGTTCTAGTCCAAGTCGGGGCGCTGGATTCTGTCCCAGTTGCCCCTCTTCCAGGCCAGCTCTCTGCTGTGGCCCGGGAGTGCAGTGGAGGATGGCCCAAGTGCTTGGGCCCTACACCCGCATGGGAGACCAGGATAAGTACCTGGCTCCTGCCTTCGGATCAGCATGGTGCGCCGACCGCAGCATGCCGGCCGCGGCGGCCATTGGAGGGTGAACCAATGGCAAAGGAAGACCTTTCTCTCTGTTTCTCTGTCTCACTGTCCACTCTGCCTGTCAAAAAAAAATGTTAATTAAAAAAAAAAAAGGTTGGGGTTCTAAATCAATGTGGAAAACAAGTTATGTAAATATGTTTACCATAAATGTCTAACTATTAGGGAAAAAAATAGGCTAACTATTGCCTCAACTCAACACTTAGGAAGCATCCGAGGAATTAAATATTAAATATGAAAACTATTAGTTACCACAAATCAGGGAACATATGACATTTGTAGAAAAAAACATAATTTACATGAGCGAAATTGACATTTTGAGATTTTATTATTGTTTATAGCCCTTGTCCATATGCTTGAAGAACAGTGGTTTTTCTACTTGTTACTTGCTGAATTCTTTATTCAATAGAGGGCTAAGCTTATGATTAAGAAAACTGAAAGTATATCATTGTAAAATTAAATAAAAATAAGAAAAGAAGGAAGAGGCAAGGTGGGAGTGAGGCAGTGAGGAAGTGAGGGTATGGCAGTAAATATCATTATGCTCTTAAAACTGTATGTATGAAATACCACAAAAGTTATTGCAAAAATTAACAGAAAATAAAAAATAAAAATATATTTTAAAAACTTACTTTTCAAAGATCAAAGTAAAATCAAATTTGATTTTAAGACAGCAAAACCTTACTAAGCATAAAACCAAGAAGCTATAGTGAACTCCGAGGACCTGAGATCTTACCCTCTTTGCAAGCTGCCCAGTTAGCCTATGACAGCATCTCGTGGATGCTAGGGAAAGACAAGAATTTCCTGTTACGGGGGACTTCCTTACTCAACAAGAATAGCAAGACTGTCAATATTTGTGTAAGTTTCCTGAGCCTAATTCCCACAGGTTAACACAAAGAGGCAAACAGACAACAGACAACTGCATATGCCATGGGATGTATCACAGGTGAGCAAACCTGAGTTGAGGGAACCAACTCTTGTAACAGGCAAAAGCAAGCCTACCCTTTACTCCAAAGGGAACACTGCTATCTTCCAAGGATGATTGCTATGCAAATATCCTTGCATAGACAATATGGATCACAAGCAGTCAGTGCCTCTGCTGGTAAGATGTGCAAAATTCAAGAGACTCCCAACAGAAGCTATAAATGATCTATTGATCGATGAATCAGATACAATAAAAATTACAAACATATCTACACTATTAACTTTAGTTATCTTACAGTTGTGAAATTACAGGTAATTAATTTCTCTCCTTTTCTACTCTTCTATTTTTCTAATTTTCTATATTCAACAGATGGGACTTTATAATTTTCCATATACATTTTTGTTGTGGGGTTGGTACTGTGGCATAGCAGGTTCAGGTTAAGCCACTACCTACAATGCTGACATCCATATGAGCGCCTGTGCTAGTTCCAGTTGCTCCACTTCCATCCAGTTCCATGCTAATGTGCCAGGGAAAGCAGCAAAATATGACCCTGCAGCCATGTGAAGAAGTTGTTTCTGGCTCATGGTTTTGGCCTGGCCCAGCCCGGGTCGATGCAACCATTTGGGGAGTGATCCAGCAGATGGAAAATCTCTGTCTGTCCGTCTGTCTCTCTCTTTCTCTCTCTCTAACTCCTTCAAATAAATAAATAAATCTTAAAAAAAAATACTCTGGCCTCCCAAATCAGAATACCTGGGTTTAATTAGTGAGTGAAGCTTTTGACTTCTGCCTCCCATTAATGTGAACACTCAGAGGCACAGTGATAGCTCAAATCAGGTCAAGTCCCAGCCACTGCAAACATTTGGATAGAGACAAGTATATAGGAGCACTCTGTCGTCTTTCCTCTTTCTCTGTCTCTGTGTCTGTGCCTGTGTCCCTCTCTGCCTCTCAAAATTTTAAAATAATTTTAAAGGAACAACACACAAACATCTAGGTAAGTTTCTACTGTAAATAACATGTCAAATATATCTAGATATTTTCCTTATACATAAACCCAAAGAATAATGCATTTAAAATGCTGCTGAATTATTAATATGGTAAAGAATAAACTTTAATTCAATGACCTTTATAGCTTATGAACTTAAAAGTCTACTATCATGTTATTAAAAACAAGATTTAAAATTAATATGATCTTTCTAATCTTTTCTTTCTGAAAATATCAAGGAAATTAAGAAAATAAACATAATAAAATTGCTTCCTCTTTGCAGACAAAACAATTTAAGCTTTCGTTAGCCAAAATATTTCTTGAGGGCCAAGTAAATACCACACCTTCCTTGAGCACCCTTACCCACAAAGATGGGCATTTATAAGGAAAGATTCATAATCATTGAAAAGACTTTAGTAGGAAGTAACATTTGAGCTAAACCATAAAGGAAAGGCAAGATTTACACAGTGTAAGAAAGCAGCATTACAATGTGCAAGAATAGGAAAACTACAGGAACGGATGAGGGGCAACATGAAGCAACTGTAGGAAATAGTGCAACACAGAAGTATGAAACAAGAGCTTACACCTTACACCTTACACAAAAATCAACTCAAAATGGATCAAAGACCTAAATCTACGACCCAATATCATCACATTACTAGAGAACATTGGAGAAACTCTGCAAAACATTGGCATAAGCAAAGAGTTCTTGGAAAAGACCCCAGAAGCATAGATAATTAAAGCCAAAATGGACAAATGAGATTACATCAAGCTGAGAAGCTTTTGTACTGCAAAAGAAACACTCAGATAAGTGAAGAGGCAACCAACAGAATGGGAGAAAATATTTGCAAACAATGCAACTAATAAAGGGTTAACATCCAGAATCTATAAAGAGTTCAACATTATAACTTTCCCACAAAGACAGATCAGGAGTTGGAAAACATGTGGGCAACTGGGAAAATATGCCAAAATCTACAATGCAGAAAATTCTCTCTCCAGTACACGGTATGTTAAAGATAAAGGAAAAAAGGCTTAGATCAGATATAGGAGATTTGGATGTAGCTCTAATATCCTTTTAGGAAACAGTTTTTTTTTTTTTTTTTTTTTAATTAACAAGTAAGAAACTTAGAGCTTTGAATGTCTTCATTTTGTTAAAATGATTTCTTTAGTGATGATATTTAAATTTTCTATGTTTTCGCTCATCAAAAATATTCACAGGAGTGCTATGGTATAATGGGTTAAGTCACTGCTTGGGATGCCTGCCTCCCCTAGCAGAGTGCATGGGATTAAATCACACCTCTGTTTCCAACCCAGCTTCCTGCTAATGTACCTGGGAGGTAGCAGATGATGGCTCAAGTGCTTGGGCCCCTGTCACCCATGTAGGAAACTCAGATGGAGTCCCTAGTTACCTGTTTCAACTTGGCCCAGCACTGGCTGTTGTACGCATTTGGGGAGTAAGTCAGCAGAAGGAAGATCTATCTCTACCTCTCTCACTCTGCCTTTCAGACAAATGATTTTAAAACCTCATAAAAACAAATGCTGCAATTTTTATATAGTATTTACATAATTCTAAACAGCCAGTAATTAGAATTTTCCCAAAACAGGGAAACGAGTACCTTTCTAACACACACACACACACACAAAAAGCTTAACTCTTAAAAAACAAAACCTCTGCTTTTCTCTTTTAACATTAAAGATATTTTCCCTTAAGTACCACATTGATTACAATAAATACCAGAATAAATGTACATCTTTTAGCTAATTCTAAATGCAATGTTAAAATTCAACTGTTATAAACAAAGAAAATATATAAATAATGTTAGCTGCTTAGGTTACAGGTTTCCCTAAAGCACACTCTACGCTACTGATATTACACCATTAATACATTATTATTCACTCTCTGCACACAAACTTTAATGCATGGTTCAAAAAGATGTTTTACTGTCTTCTACAAGGGAACTTCAAAAAGTTCATGGAAAAATGGAATTAAAAGATAAGTTTATTTTGGTTGTAAAAATATTCTGAAATGTAAGCATAGCTTTTCTTAGTATGTATTCTCCATGGACTTCTTAAACATCCCTCAAATTTTCTGTCCTGCGAAGTACTGCTATGGAACTGAAAATGAGGCTATCAGCTTTGGTCAAGTCCCATCATGTTACATGTATCTCTAATTACCAAGAGCTCAAGTATCATCTTTCTCAAAAAGTATAAAATGCCTTCCCCATTTCTTCTCTGGTACACAGACAAACCAATCAACCCTTGGATTTGACTAAGTTGGAAAATTCTTTCTGGTTATAGTGCAGCCAAGAACATACTTTGTGGTTTCAAACAAACCAGGCCTGAGGTTATATCCTATCGTAACCATGACACCTACAAATAGTCTTACGCATTCAAGTTAATGTAATTCTGGATGAGTCACTTAACTTCTAAAATGGAAGAGTCAATACATTTTCTTAAAGTTGAGGTATAGACAGTTATTTAACTCCAAAAACATTATTATTTACTGTTGGAAACAATTTTAACATGCATCTGTGTAAACAATTGTAAACATTAAAAGTATATATACAAATATGCATGTATACATGCATAAATACAGATAGATAACAGCAGTTTTACAAGTTACCTATTATACTGATATTGTAATATCTGGAGAAACAAAAAGGACAAAATAGTACAAGAACACCATGTTAAAAATATTGTTTCTTCAAGGAACTTACACTAACCATTGTAAGTTGTCATCACAGAACACACACACAGACATGTGCCCTTACTAGTACCTTTAACTTTGTATTCTCAAGATTCAGAGTTTCATTTTCATACTCAATTGACTGAAGTTTTTTAAGAATTTCTTCATATGAATTTTTTCCATGGGCTTCCATTTTCTTCAGGTCCTCCAAAAGATGAAATATTTGCCTTCATAAAATAAATAATAGATTTGATAAAAGCCACAGAAGTTTTCATTCAAGTAACACATGGTAAGTGTATTTCTGAAATCAGTTTGGTGAAGTTTACAGTTTAGACAAGGGACAAACAAGAAGTTAACAGAACTCAGAACAACAGAAATAGGAAGAAGTAATCTATAGCATTACCAACAGAATAACTATGATTACAAACAAATACCTATTGATGATTCCAATGAAAAAATACAATGATCTCTTTCTAGTCAATAAAATGTTCACCTGTCATCCACAGGTATGAATGTCTCTTTCATACATGTGAGCCTACACATGAAAACACACAAACACACACACACACATAATTTTAAGGATAAGGTTAAAGAAAAAGATCAAGCGAGTCAATGGCAACTAATCTTTAGAAAGATTATATACGCTAGTTTTCAATGATAAAACTGAATATATAGAAAATGAAACACTTAAAAGCAAGTATTCAGGGTTCATTATTGTTAGCATCCCATTTAGAAATTTTAAAACATAAGATATATGTATTTTTACTCATTGGTTTTCTCTGTGAATGCATTTAAGTCACCTTAATTAAGAGTACTGATTTTTAGAATTTTCAAAGAAAATGTATTTTAATCTTTGTTTTATGAAGCTACTTTGAAGAGTTTGTAGAAAATAGAATTAAAGGTAAGTTTATTTTGTTGCAAAAACAAATTTGAAATCCACGCATATGAGGAGGGGTCTTCAGAAAGTTCATAATAATGCAATTATGAAAAAGTATGCATGAATTTTGAAAAATTTTTGCAACAAAATAAAGTTGTCCCTTAGTTTCATTTGCCATGAGCTCTTTGAAGGTCTCCTATATTCTTACACATTCTTGTTGAATAGAGAAACATCACTTCCATTGAAGACAAAGTTAGTATTAACACCTACTACAGGCCGGCGCTGCGGCTCACTAGACTAATCCTCCGCCTTGTGGCACCGGCATACCGGGTTCTAGTCCTGGTCGGGGCGCCAGATTCTGTCCCAGTTGCCCCTCTTCCAGGCCAGCTCTCTGCTGTGGCCCGGGAGTGCAGTGGAGGATGGCCCTGCACCCCATGGAGACCAGGATAAGTACCTGGCTCCTGCCATCGGATCAGCGCAGTGTGCCAGCCACAGTGGCCATTGGAGGGTGAACCAACGGCAAAGGAAGACCTTTCTCTCTGTCTTTCTCTCACTGTCCACTCTGCCTGTCAAAAAAAAAAAAAAAAAAAAAAAAAAAACCACCTACTACAAATAATATTTGACACACACTCAAATAATAATCTACAAGTTTAAAGTTTCAAAATGTGAACACCAGCTCACTTTTTAGAGCAATCATTTTCATTGGTTTTTACAGTAGAGTAAGAAAAGTTTAGAGTTATAAATAGCAAAAATAAATCAAATAGGTAGCATGTCCACTCCATGTAATCCAGAATAACCAAAATACAAACTGCTAAAACAGCAGGGAACCAAAAACATTTCTTTCTTACTAAACAGTAAAGATTCCAAATTCTTTCTTACGTTTTCATTGTTTCAATCTGAACTTCCAATTCCATTTTTTCTATTACAATTTTCTCATAATGACTTTTCCAGGCATTAGAAGCTGAAACTGTTTCAGACAATTTGGCTTCCTAAAAAATACATAAAGTATTTATTTTGTAACTCAAAAATCTTGCTGTTTTGTTAGCACAGATACTCCATAAACAAGGAAACAGTATGAAAGTCAACTAGAAAAGTCAGTATACAATGTTGAATATAGCAAAGTTTTAAAGTATACTTTTATAGAGTATCTATTTTACTAGTTTTTATATACACATAGTGGTAGTTCCAACTTAACATTTTAAAAGATGTTGATGCAACTATTTCAAAACAGTATTTCAGAGTTGATGAGGAAAATTTCCTTTATATTTATAGAGCTTTTCATTTTGCACACTATAACAGAAAATGTGAACAACCACACAAGTATCGGGGTGGGGGTAAGATCTCTCCTGATTCCAAACTTCTTGACACTCAGTTATGCAGCCTTACTAATCTTTGTTACAGGGGCTGGTGCTGGGGTGCACCGGGTAAAGCTGCTGCCTGCGAAACCAGCATCCCATATGCCCACCAGTTTTGAGTCCCAGCTGCTCCCCTTCCAATCAAGCTCCCTGCTAAGCAGAGGATGGCCCAAGTGGTTGGATCCCTGCACCCACATGGGAGACCAGGAACAAGCTCCTGGCTTCTGGCTCCTGTCTTCGGATCAGGCCAGCTCAGGCAATCATGGTCATATGGGGAGTGAATCAGTGGATGGAGGATCTCTCTCTCTCTCTCTCTCTGTCTCTTCCTCTTTCTCTCTCTGTAATTCTGCCTTTCAAATAAATAAATGAATTTTTTAAAATAATAATATTATGAAAAAATGTAAGATTAATTGAAGGCCTCTCTGAAGAGGTGTCAGCTGAAAAGAAACCTGGATAATTTAAATACAGGACCAGTGTGGTGAGCCAAGGAGGAGCACGAAAGCCAGATGCAGCAGCAAACAAACAAAACAACAAAAGGGGCTCCACAGCTTAGAGGAACAGGAAGGACAGTGTGGCAAGAAGGCAGGCTAACCAGGCACTCTACAATGACCCGAGATAAGCAGCATCATGTCCTAGCTTATAAAGAGAGAAACCAACGCTTGGAGAAGTTACTTTCATAGCTGAAGTGACAAGCTGACAAAAGGGGGCGCTTTCTGTAATGTGCCTAGGGCACGGGTGGTGCTGTTTAAATAGGAAAATCTCAAGAAGTCAATGCCTCAGTTAATCTTTAATATTTCTAGGCACTCAACCAGGTCTACAACCTCCCAGATTTTGCACCTAGTCTTAACTCTTATAACTAAATTCTTCTAAACAGAAGTTAAATATCAAAGCCTTAAAATGTTAACACTTGAGCTTCTAAAACATTGTTTTGTTTGCATGAGCTTTTGTAAAATCTGTTTTCATTCCTAGAAGACTCTAATGATTCTGTAAGCCTTAACATAAGTTCTTATGAGATGGGATACCAGCACGACATTAAAAAGAATAAAAACTTTATTAATTGTTAGCTGAATAAATATAATAATTTGTCAATAACAACAAAGAACTAAGTCCAATTTTCAACTTTCAACCATACCCGAAGATGTCTTTCACATGGTGTGTTTACGTCAGCATATGGTTTTAAATGCATTACAGACATTAAGTGAAGTGAATTACTGCTGAATAAAGTCATATGGCCTAATAACATAAATCAGCATTTCCCAAACTTACTCCTCAGAACCAGTTCCAAGAGTTGCTTTGTGGGTAAAAGAAGAGCTCTGTGGTTAAGTAAGGATGGGAAACTCTTAGTTCAATACCCTTCATTACACTGTGTTTCTGAAAGGTTTCTCAGGACTTTAAATATACTCATATGACAGTAACTTACCAAGGATGGATAGGATACATAAGAATGGTTAGCCTTAGTTAGTTGGAACACTCAACATCTCCCTTAAGTAAAGTCCTCAAGGAAATGTTGACTTAATTCAACGTGTCAATTTAACATTTTATGTAATCCTTCAAAATAAAAGACTATAGCAAAGAGTTGAGTTTTTCTAATATCAATAAGACAAGAATAAAATTTTTGTATTAAGCATCATAACATTAACTACATAAAGTACATGACATACATCTTTAGAAAAGAACAGGTGTACTCACCTGGTCTCTAATCTGGGAAGTAATGTTTTCAATATTTCCTGTAAAATATTCAAGCCTTTGTTTATAAATTTTAGATGCCTTTTTTAGAGCTATAGCCTTTTGCTTACTTGCTTTTTTCATTGCTACCATCTCATGCTTACTGGTTCTCAACTGTAAATTCCACTTGGCAATCTTGGTTTCTAAGCTCTGAAAAAATAACAATTAAATGATCTCAGAATTCTAATGTTTACATAACCATTATAAAAAACATGTATACAATCTCTTCAGATGTTATCAAAGTTATTAATCATAAGATTAATACAAAGCAAAACAGTGAAAGGTGATTTCACCAATGCTTTTTCACAACCAGTTAAAGTAAGTAAATTTAAAATATATAAGCCTACATAAAATAATTGTCACCATTATTGAGGATACTAATATTGATGATTATGCTACAAATACTAACTTCCTTTAAAAATTCTGAGATTAACTAGAATGTTTTTGTTTAAATCTAGAATCTTACACATATCATGAGTTTAAAAACCTAGTTTAAAAAAACTGATCTAGATAAGATCCAAATAGGTGTCAAAGCTCAAGAGCTGGTTTCTCCACAAACCTGTTCCTGCCCTTCAGGCTGAAAGATAAAGGCCCAATGGAGATGCCATCCAATTCTATAAATATGAAAGGTAGCAATGAGATAATCATAGACTCATTTACCCAATTTTACCTTACCAGAATCAGGAGGCACGCCCTGACTCCAAGAAAGTGTTACATGAAGGACAGCAGAAGTGCTGCTTTACCCAGTGAGAACTAAGTCATTATTCCAAGACCAAACGCGGGTGTGGATAAAACAGTAACGATCAGATCTGTAAGACCAGTAAAAGTAAGAGGATGTTCGAGGGCTGGCTTCTATCCCTCAGTATGAAGCTAATCGGCCAGACTCTGACATATCTTGGGGACAGGATGACACAGCATGAGGCTCTATGGATGATGACCTTATTTAATGTGATAACTCTGATTTCCAATTATTTTAAGACTTTGTATTTAATGCAGCTAGGGAAGCAGCAGAAGATGCCCCAAGTGCTAAAGCCAGTGCCACCTACGTAGGAGACAGGGGATGGAATTCCTGCCTCTTGGTTTCAGCCTGACTCAGCCCCAGTTGTTGTGGACAACTGGGGAGTGAATCAGCAGATGGAAGATCAATTTCTCTATAACTCTGCCTGTCAAACAAATTAATTATTTTTTTTAAAAAAAAGACTTTGTATTTAAAGCGCCTGAGTACTGAGAATCTAAGAATTTGATGACACTATCTGAATGCTTTTCCATTTTGAAAGTGGTATAATATTGGGGAAAAAAAACACAAAATTGTTACAGAATTTAGGATTTAGTCTCTCATTCCCTGGATTGTCATTTTAATGAAAGAAATTTCAAAAGAAATCACAGGAAAAAATGGGGTTGTTCTACTTAGACCTATGGTCAACAAAAAAATATGGTTCTCAACTTACATAAAATTGAGATTACAAGGTACATTTTAAGATTTACACTTGATTTCTTTAAACAGTGATCAGGTAAACAGAGGAAGTAAAACATTCTTAAACGGACTTCAACCAGATCTGTTAAGATCAGTAAACTAAAAGGATGCTTGAGGGCGGGCATCTATCCAGAGATGAATGAACACTGTGATATGAGGCTGAGTGCAAACAGACAAGAGCGGCACACTAAGTCTGCATTAAGACAAAGGAAGCCTTGACCTCACAGGAAATATAGCTGTCATTCTCACAACTGCCACAGGGTGTCAGGATCACACCACGAATGTTAACAAAACTTGAGTGAAAAACCTTTTCAAATATAAAGGTGAAGTGAACATTTTTTTTCCCCCAAGGTTCTAGACAAGATTTTGTCACTAAATTTATCAAATCCCATCCTAGACACTATCAGGAAGCACACACACACTATCAGATTATTTTATAGTGGCTCATCACTTACCAAATGAAGGGACACATTGAAGACCTCAAATTCTATTCTCAAAGTTACTGTGGCTCCAAAAGAATAATTACACCAAAAACTGCCCTTAATTATACCACTGTAGAGCTGTATAACAAAGGGACTACTCAAATACCCAAGCATAAAGCTAGGTTAACTAGCTTTAACATTATCATGATTGATAACAACAACAAAATTTACATGTGTGGCCCAAGGATTTGGTCCCTGCCACTTGTGTAGGACACACATGGGGTTCCAGGCTCCTAGCTTCTGCCTAGCTCAGCCCCAGCCACTGTGGCCACTTGGGGAGTGAACTACTGGATGGAAGATTGATAATTCCCTCTCTCCATCTCCTCACCCCTGTCTCTCCTTCTCTCACTATAACTCTGCCTTTCAAATAAATAAATCTTTTTTTAAACTATATGCATATATAGGAAAGTACTGTAATTTAAAAAACTTTATAATGAAAAACAATAAACTATGCAAAAATGTTAACAATGGTGTTGGTATTTTTAAGTTTTTACTTCCTCCTTTATATTTGACATATTCTATGAATTTTGACAATAAACACAATTATACAATCAGAAAGATTTTTTAATGTAATTTGATCATTGCAAATCCTTCCTAGATTGGTCCTAAATACAGACAGCATTTTTATATTGGAATTTGTACCCAAATCTTTAGATGGGTCAGAAATTCTAAGATTTACATTAAATGTGTAGTTCCCACAGCAACATTTAAATTGCATTCTTTTAAAATCAACAAATTCAAGAATTAAGAAACAGTTTTCTATCTTTTCGTTAATTTTATCTCTGAAACTTTAGAAGTGGATACATATTTATGACCTTTATGTATTCTTTTAACTTATCATTCTCCGCTTCCTTTTTATGAATTTGGAACTGCAGTCGTTCATGCACTAATTTTACTGATTGAGACAAACGGTTGGCTTTCAAAGTATTTGCCTGTAACAGAAAAAACAAAAAGGTTATTATCTGCTGTATCCCAACTCACAAAATCTTATATCTTTCCCTGATTTAGACATCAGCTAAAAAGCTGATGAAAATCAAATACTGCTTTATCCAAACCGACCTCCCACTACAAATGTATTTCATGTAGAGCTATAGGGAAGTTTTCTCCTTCCCCCCACTTTTATTTAATGGCAATTGGTTAATTATCTCCTCTTAAAAATTATTCCTATCCTCCTAAGCAAATTATAGGTATTCTACACTGCTCCTACAAACAGCAAAATTCCTTCATTTAGCTCCTACTTGAAATAAAACATAACTTTATACAGTTCATAATTTGTTGTGATTTATGTCAAGTACCTGTAAAACTTCCTTAAAAGTTTAAATTAAGATGTTATATTTAGTACATAAAATTTGTAAAATATCCTATTAATCTAAAATTTTTAAAAATCTTTCTGTGCTGATTTCTGAGGACATGAGGCCAGTGTGGGAAGAGAACATATGATGAATTGGGTACAGGCTTCTGGCACAGACGTTTAGGAAGCCACTTGGGACACCCACGCCCCATATCCCAGTGCCCAGGCTCGTTTCTTGGCTCTGCTTCCAATTCCAGCTTCCTGCTAATGTGCATTCTGAGAAGTAGTAGGTGATGGCTCAAGCACTTTGGGAACCTGCCACCCATGTTTGAGAAATAGAATTCACACTCACCCTGGCCCAGCCCTGGCTGTTGTGGGCATTTGGGAGGTGAAACTGTGGATGGAAGACCCGCCCTCCCTCCTCTCTCTGCCTTTCAAATAAATAATTTTTAGAATATATGATGACTTAGTTCAAATCCAAAATTCTGCTTACCTTTTCATCCTGAAATAAGGAAGACAGCTCTCGGATATAGGTCTCCTTTTCAAGTATCTTCTTCTGAAGATTCTTCAGCAAATACCACATGAGAGTTAGAAATGTCCCAACGTGGACAACATTAACTAATTCTATAAAGCAGAGCAGCATACAAATAAGCAAGAAACATCAGACAGAACGGACATGAAGTGTGGAAATACTTACAGTGTTTTCATCTTCACTGTCAGACAGATTCTCTAAGAACGTGCTGGACAAAGAGTCTCCTGTCTGTGGAAAAAAAGGGTATTATAAATCAGTGCTTACAAACTGTACTTCTCCACATTAAAAAGGAGAAAGTGGAGTAAGAATCATTCCTGAAATTAACCGGGGCCACTAAAATGCACAGCTCAGAGTCTTAAAGGCATGAACTGCCAAAAGGATTTTTGCATGGGTATTCTAAGTAATTGTTTTGTCTCCAATTTATGAAATTACTGAATATACTAAATTCATCTCAGGAGAATAACTCAAAAGATATAGACTAACAACATACAAAAATCACAAAAACTACGGTACATAAAAGGAGCTTGACACAGTGCTGCTTATAGATAGGCAAAGAATGTAAACAACAGAAATTGTAGCAGTAAGAAATCTTAAAGATTGGCTGGCACTGCGGCTCACTAGGCTAATCCTCCCCCTGCAGCGCCAGCAACCCGGGTTCTAGTCCCGGTTGCTCCTCTTCCAGTCCAGTTCTCTGCTTTGGCCCAGGAGGGCAGTGGAGGATGGCCCAAGTGCTTGGGCCCTGCATCCTCATAGGAGACCAGGAGGAAGCACCTGGCTCCTGGCTTCGGATCAGTGCAGCGTGCCGGCCATAGCGGCCATTTTGGGGGTGAACCAACGGAAGGAAGACCTTTCTCTCTGTCTCTAACTCTGCCTGTCAAAAAAAAAAAAAAAAAAAGAAAAGAAAAAAAAAGAAAAAAGAAATCTTAAAGATTTAGAGCAAATTAGTAACAGACTTCAGTGTAGTCATTTTCAATGGAAGAACGCTCATTCACTTCTGAGGGATGGACTCCTGCTTGAGAATGTGAGAAAGCTACAACATCCTTTCATCCGAAAGCACTTACTCACATATAATTATATAACCCACAATTTCACAGGGCTCATGGACTCTGCAAGGCTCCAGAGAGCTCAGATTAAGATTCCTTCCTACTCAGAAAATATTTCATATAAAAAAAATTGATGATACAGTGTTTAGGACAAAAGTCAAGTTCCAAAGCAATAAGAATAGAAGCATCCTGTCTTTCTAAAATAATACACATATATTTACATATATAGAACAAAAGACTACAAGATATAAAAAAACAAAATTAATAGTGTTTAACACACGTAAGCATCTTCAATGCAAAAATCTGAAAACTGAAATGCTCTAAAAACCAAAACTTTTTGAGCACCAACATGATGCCACAAGTGAAGAATCCCACACCTAACCTTATGCAATGAGTTAGAAACAGCTGGTACACTAAAAATACATGTGTATAAAGTGTATATAAAACATAATTGAATTCTGTGTTTATTATATTTGTCCCATCCCCAAGATATCTCATTTTGTATATATAAATATCCAAAAATATAAACCAGTTTTGTCTCCCTACATTTTGGATAAGAGATACTCAATCTTTATAAGTACACCAAGCAATTCCACTCCTACACATACGGCCAAGAGAAGTGAAAGCATAAATCTACACCATAGCTTTGAAAATTGAATGTTCACAGCAGAATTAGTCATCATAGCCAAAAACAGAAATGATGCCAAGGTCCAGCCACTGTAAATGGTAATGTAACAGTGGCACACCCACACCATGACTACACTCAGCAATGAAGAGCAGTCACGTTCTAACACAAGCTACAATGTGGATGAGCCCTGAAAACGTTACGCTAACTGAAACAAGGCAGTCACAAACAACCATATTATCACAGTGTCCTTGTATATAAAATATACAGAACAGGCAAATCCAGAGAAAGAGAGAGTAGACAGAGCAAATAAGGGTTGCCTAGGGCTCTTTGAAGGAGGTATGGGTGGGATGGTTTGTGTTCAGGGTCTGTTCGGAGTGATAAAACTATTCTAAAACTTTGTGGTGATAGCTACACAACTCTTTGAATATATTAAAAACCACTGAATTGTATACTTTAAATGGGAGAACTGAACTGTATCTCAATAAAACCATTGAAATATGTATATATAAAGAAAATGTACATAGGAGTAACATTTAAGAGTATTTTATTATAATTGGCTAAATGGAGGATAACAAGTAATAAGTTTTTGATATAGAAAATTTTTATAAAAAACATGGTTTTTATATTTTTTATATTGTATTTTATTTTATATTTGTTTCATATAGAACTATTTATGTAACATTAAAAGTAGTAATGACTGTCCTTTTAAACAAAAATCCAGACCGGCGCCGTGGCTCACTAGGCTAATCCTCCACCTTGCGGTGCTGGCACACCGGGTTCTAGTCCTGGTCAGGTCACCGGATTCTGTCTCGGTTGTCCCTCTTCCAGGCCAGCTCTCTGCTGTGGCCAGGGAGTGCAGTGGAGGATGGCCCAGGTGCTTGGGCCCTGCACCCCATGGGAGACCAGGAGAAGTACCTGGCTCCTGCCATCAGATCAGCACAGTGCGCCTGCCACAGTGCTGGCCGCGCCGGCCACTGGAGGGTGAACCAACGGCAAAGGAAAACCTTTCTCTCTGTCTCTCTCTCTCACTGTCCACTCTGCCTGTCAAAAAAAAAAAAAAATCCAAAGAATTGTTAGCATTTCAAATATCAATATTTTAATGTTTATAGTTTGAAAACTAATATACCCCTTAAATGAGAAATATCTCTATTAAGTGAGTGCTTAGTATAGATGCCTTACTTGTTTGTAGTCTGTGTTTCTAAGATGGTCTAAAGCTACGTTTGCGGGTTTGAAAGTGTCTAATTCTTTGGTTAATATTTCCTTCTGTTTAGCAATCTTCAAATTAGATGCAGAAAGATCAGCCTGCCAAAATACAAGAACCACACACACATTTTGATACATAGCATTAAGTCATACAATCTAAAATATGGTATTATTAAAAATATCTTTCTCTAGTAACAAAATAATTCTCTTACATGCAGTAATAGGAAATTCTGCCAAGTTTACTAATAGCAATGGGAACTCTAACAATAGCATATTAAACTAAAATGAAATCAAAATAAGGGTTTGGGGCCAAACTGCTGCCTGCAGTGCCAGAATCCCATATAGGCTCCGGTTCGAGATCCAGCTGCTCTACTTCCGATCCAGCTCTCTGCTATGGCCTGGGAAAGCAGTGGAAGATGGCTCAGGTTCTTGGGGCCCTGCACCTATGTGGGAGACCCAGAGGAAGCTCCTGGCTCCTGGCTTTGGATCAGTGCAGCTCCAGCTGTTGCAGCCAATTGGGGAGTGAACCAGCAGATTATAGACCTCTCTCTCTCTGCCTCTCTTCACTCTGTGTAACTCTGACTTTCAAATAAATAAATAAATCTTTAAAAAGAAAAAAAATCATAAGAAAAAAATTAGGGTTTAAACTCTGAAAGTATTTCAGATATTTACTCAATAAAAAGTTAGAAGATACCAACTAGTTTTTGTTCCTAACTCAAATTTTAGTAAGCTGAAATTATATTTTTAAAGAATGGAGATTTTATAATTTTCATTTATTTATTTAATTATTTTCATTTATTTGAAAGGCAGAAGGACTAAAAGAGAAAGGCAGAGACAGGGCTAACTCTTAACTGGTTTACTCCCAAAATGCTCACAACAGCCAGGCATAAACCAAGCTGAAGCAAGGAGCAGGGAACTCAATTCAGGTCTCCCATACAGGTAGCAGGGCCTCAAGTACTTGAGTCATCATCTGCTGCCTCACAGGGTGCACATTAGCTGGATTGCAAGGGAGCCAGGACCAGAATCCGGGCATTCCAATATGGGATGCGGGCCGTATAGGTGGCACGCCAACCGTCAAACACCTGCCCATGAAATTCTTAAAAGTGGTTTTCTACTCCAAATAACACTATAGGAAATAGATATATTTCATCCTTCAGACTTAAGTTTTACATTCACAACTGAGAAAAACTGATTTTCCAGTTCAAGTGTTAGCTAAGTCAAGCACCAAATATATAGTGTCCAGCTTATAAGCATCTTATCAGGTGTGTGCCTGGTACTATCTTTTAGGAAAAGAATTACAGTTAATGACACAGGAATAAAGAACACATACAGATATTTTGGTATCAAATATCTGTATGTGTATAGCTAGTTAGGATATGAAATCTCAATTAATGCACGCTGAGTATTATATTAGCTTTTCATCTTATCAGATGTTACGAGTCAAATACTCACATTTTCAAAACCAATCTTTTCAAGGGTATCTTTAAGTAACGGCGAAAGTAATTCTACAGAAGAAGCTGTAGGTGTTGCTTTCAATTCAGCCTTTTCATTGAGGTTATCCTGCTTTGGGCTAGTTACAAACACACAAATAAAATTAAGTTAAATCTGTCACATAAACGTTCAATGTAAATATACCATAGCCTGATTAAATAGTACCATTCTGTAAAATTCCTGCAAAATGCAGTTGTAAATTGTCACCAAAAATACGTTTTCCCCATATTTTCTTATTTTTTCTATTCTTTCTATTCTCAGAAAAATTATTTTTTAAATGTTAAAGATATATAAAACACAAAGACCAATAAAAGTAATGTTTAACTATTCTATGTTTGATAATATTTCCTTTCTGGTTTATAAGAGAATTTGTGTGAAAGGGACTTCAAAGAGACTGGAAAGGGGGAATTAAAAAATAACGTGGAGGTGGGCGCTGTGGCGCAGTGGGTTAAACAGCTACTTAGGACGACTGTGTTCCATACAGAAGCATCAGCTGGAATCCTGACTGTTCTGCTTCTGGTCCAACTCCCTGTTAATGCACTGAGAGGCAGCAGATGACGGCCTGTGTACTTGAGTTCCTGTCCCCAATGTGGGAGGACCCAGATAGAGTTCCAGATTCCTAGCTTTGGTCTAGCCATGGGTTTTGTGGGTGTCCAGGGTATTAACCAGCAGATGGATGGTTCTCTCTCTCTCTCTTCCTCTCCTCCTAAGTAGATAAAAATAAACTTTTTTTAATGTGATGTGAATTTTCCATGAACTTTTTTGAAGCTGCTTATATTTATCTCCTTTATTTTCTTCTCCCTTATTCCAAATGCAAAAAAAAAATTATCTTTCTAGATTCCCAATCCTTTTCTTTTTTGCTCTGCACAAAAACTTCCTCCAGAAGAATTAATAAGCTACACAAGTGGACTACAAAAAGACGAAAGTTCTTTGGAGACAGAAAATCCTTCACTTTTGGCTTTAGGATATCCCCATTCAAAATAAAACTAATGATCTCTGCTTTCCCTAGATACTACCGTGTATTAATAACATAAGATTTTTTTTTTCAGTCACGCTGTACAACCTGAAAGCAGGATGTGTCTTATCATCCTCATCAGCCAGGCGGCAGCCCTGCCCCGCCTGTGTGTACACACTCAAAACTGACAGAATGGGTTCCCGAGCTTTGACTAGCCTACAGAAAGGGCTGCGCTACTTTTCTAACCCCTTGGGTGGCAGAGCCCAAAGCAGAGAGTGACATTCCAGAAGCAGGCTTGCTGTATTTTGTAACGAAGAGCTCAGCATCCAAAACTTCTCCTTCATTTAAAGATGCTTCAAAGAAACACCGTTAACACCAGGACTCTTAATAATGACAACTTTGAGTCAAAAAGTGTCTTAATGAATGTATTCCACTTACATTTTGCTTTCATGTAATTACAAGAGTTTTTTGGTTAAACATCTATGTATAACCAAGTTTGAAAGAGCCTTTCCAATACTTATAAATACGATTCCAAGTGATATGGAAGCACTGTGTCTTTTTTTTTTATTTATTGTTTGAAAGGCAGAGCTAGACAGAGGGAGAGGGAGAGGGCGACAGAGAAAGAGATCGATCTTCCATTTGCTGGTTCACTCACCTGGCTGCAACGGCCAGAGCTGGGCCAGGCAGAAGCTGGCACTCATGCTCCTATGGGATGCTTGTGTTGCCAGGCAGAGCTTTCACCTGCTACACCACAGCATCGGTCCCTGTGTCTTTCTTTAATTGGCAGCATTTTCTTTCTTTACAGAACGTGAGACAATGGCATGTTAACGGCATGTGTCCTAGAGGATTTGTCAAAAAAGTGGATTGTGCCCTTGAGCACTACTGGATCCAAATAACAGACCTAAGAAGATTCTGGCTATAAATTAACTTGTCCCTTACTAAAAACCATGGGCAAAGTCAGGAATGGTTATATTTGACAAAATCTAATTTTCAATTGTAAGAAGTTAAACCAGAAGTGGACTACAGTGATGATAATGGATTTTAAGACTATCACTGGGGGAGGTGAGGGCAGCAGCAATAATTCATATAAATAATAATAAATGTCTTCCTCATTCTAAATAAGTAAAATATGGTAAGCATTTGTTATTCGAGTACACCAACACCAGATGGTTTCAGAAATTCATGGACAAAAGGAATTAAAAGATAACATACAGTTTCTGTGAACTTTTTGAAGCTCCCTTATATATCAAATGACAGTAAATTAGTGCTCAACTATGTTTCCAATACTTTATAATATTTATATTTTCATCTGCCTTAGTCAAAAAGCTTTATAAATTCTTAATAGGTAAGTTTTCAATTTTAATTGCTTTCATTAATATTCAAGTAAAACTTGCTGGATTATGCTGAGTAAATTTGTGATAAGACTAAATAAATATATTTTAATGAATGAATTCTAGATTTAAAGAATATATCCTTGAGAAAACACTGCATTTGGTTCAAATAATTTACTTTATGGACAAAATAATACCCTGAAATCAGAGAATTCAATTGCCCCTGATATTGAGGTGAGTACCAGATGAGATGGCTTTCACTGGCAGACGGTGGTAAACATTCACTCTCTGATCTATTTTTGAGATAGTCCGAGAATTCTTCTGAATGATTTCCATCATTTGTAGACTTCTCCATCAATTCAGTAAGCAGAATTATAGATGGTTTCCACAACTTCTCCACGTAAGCTGAAAGTTGGAAATATTTTAGTTACTGAAATCATTTTGGTAACGATTTTTTTTCTGTCATTACTCTATGATAAATGATAAAAGATCCTGTCAATAAGAGAATAACATTTCAAAGACAACTTACAACAAGTATTGTTATAGTAAATAAAATAGTATAAAAATTACACAGCACAACCATTCAACAATTGCCATTTGTCATACATTGCTCCCCAAAAGCACACTGTTTTCTACGCAATTACAGGGTGCAGAAATCTTTCCTAGTCTATTTCTTCAAGTATTGCAATATTAATTCAGTGGGACAAGAAGAATATAAACACCATGGGGTGACTGTTGTCATCAGTTCCTTTAAGCCTGTCCGGTAAGACATAAATTTTACCTACACCTGGAACAGTAGAAATGCAACATACTCTTGAAAATAAAGCAGATAGGATATTCTTCCAAAAATAGACCTCAGGCTAGGATATTCTTCAGTGACAATGAAAATAGACAGATGACATTATTTCCAAATGTTATTAAAATATTCTAATTCTTGTCGCTCAAACTTGGAGATGTTATTTTGGAAATGTGAAAATTGACAAATGTCTTCAAAAGTGCTTCATTGTAAGCAATGAGTTAAGAGGTTAGCAACCATCAACTCTGATAACACAGCAATGTGTCTTCCTGACTTCATTTTATGTTTACACAAAGTCAACAATCTTATTTAAGCTTTTTCAGATATTTACCCCTTTATGATTGAGTCTTATATTTCTGTAATTACAAAATAAATTTTGTCCAAGAACCCTGAATAGTTTAGGTATTAAATTACAGGTTGAAAATTATTTACAAACTTGAATTCACAATTAAGAAAACTTCCAAAATATCTACTAAAATTGTATTTATTTCTGTCTGAAAATTAAAGTCAATGAAATGCATCCGTACATTTTTTAAATACTGTAGAGGAAATACAGCCACAACCAGAGACAAATAAAGAAAAGCAGACCACCCCCTCCAACACTAACCGTGAAAAGTGGCTGCTTGCAATTAACTAGTGAGACAGCTGCGCACTGGGATCTTGTCTAGGGAGGAAAGATGTCCTAAATTCTGCTTCTGTAACTCCAGACATAAATATGTTCTAAGAAATCTGCCCTTGGTATCTCTTTTACAAACATATTGGACCCAACGATCATCGGAAGTGTGGTCCTAAGTCACGTAGGCTGCAATTTAAGCCCACCAATGCTGTAACAGTTAAGGTATGATGCTGATGAACCTATAAATACTGTAAGAAATTTGGGATTGTTGCTCATTTCTCAACTGAGCCCACTCGCGTTAATAAACTGCTTGGATCCTCCACTCTCTCTGGTGCTTGTCTGAACGAAGGGAGTTTTCCCACCCCAGGTTTCTATAACAATACCAGCCATTGAGACCCCAAGAAACTGCGAAAACAACATATAGCACAGCTGCTGAGACTCAAACTGGCATGCCATCGGATGCTGGTAATGCAGGCTGTAGCTTAACCCTCTGAGCCACAACGCTGTCCCCAGAACAAGCTCTTGATGAGTGACTGCAATCAAGAGAACTACCAGATACTAACGTATTCAGTTGCAACAGCTACCCCTCAGAAAGGAGCTGGGATTTATCTTGTTTAAATACGTGTCTCTCCATGGACTGAAGCCTCAAGGAAGAGTGTCTTACATTTGAATCCACAGCATCCACAAGCCTTGTAACAGGGAAGCAATAGTGATGGACAGGACACAGGTTTAGAGTCCCTCAACATGTCTTGTTTCTGACTTATTCATCTTCTCAGGAATTGTTCAAAGAAAAGTGGTTTCTAGGAGCCCGCACCGTGGCTCACTTGGTTAATCCTCCACCTGCGGCACCGGCATCCCATATAGGCACCAGGTTCTAGTCCTGGTTGCTCCTCTTCCAGTCCAGCTCTCTGCTGTGGCCCAGGAGGGCAGTGGAAGATGGCCCAGGTGCTTGGGCCCCTGCACCTGCATGGGAGACCGGGAGGAGGCACCTGGCTCCTGACTTCAGATAGGCACAGTTCCAGCCGTAGTGACCATTTGGGGGGCGAGCCAATGGAGGGAGGACCTTTCTCTCTGTCTCTCTCTCTCACTGTCTATAACTCTACCTGTCAAATGAAAAAATAAATAAATAAATAAAAAATTTAAAAAGTGGTTTCTAAATTTGGAATAAAAGTTTAAAAACACTAAAAGAGAATAAAGATCCTCAATTTGTAGAAAATATCAGGGTGACCAGTGCTGTGGTACAATGGGTTAAGTTTGCCCCCTGGGATGCTGGCATCCCATATGGTTGGAGCCCTGGCTGCTCCACTTACGATCCAGCTCCCTGCTAATACACCTGGAAAAGCAACAGAGGTTGGCCCAAGTACTTTGGCCCCTGCCACCCATTAAGGGAGACCCTGATGGATTTCCAGGCTCCAGGTTTCAGCCTGGACCAGCTCCCTGGCTTTGATCTGGCCCAGCCCTGGCCATTGAGGCCATGTGGGACATGAACCAATGGATGGAAGATCTCTTTCTCTCTCTCTCTCTCTCTCTCTCTCTCTCTCTCTCTCCCTCTCTGTCTGTCTCTCTGTCTGTCTCTCTGTCTGTCCCTCTATCTCTGTAACTCTGCCTTTCAAACAAGTAAGATAAATATATTTTTTTAAAAACTACAAAAAGAAACAAGAAAATATAAGAGGATTCAGTGTGGCATATTTCAAATGATTTCTTGGCTTTGTGGGCCATTGGCAGCTATACATATAATTCCCTTTTATCTTAAAATGAAATTGTAAAAGAAAATTTTTCTGCTTCATCACCTATAACGTGGTAACTGTGTTTTATCATAAGGGATAAATAAAACACATAGTAAAAATGGGGAGTTTAAAGTGACCTTTAGCACAAATTTCTAATGTTATTCTTACTGATTTCTCAAAACCAGAGAACCACATAAGTTTCAGATATTTCCATGAAAATTATCAACAATAATATTCTCCAGGAGAAATATTATTCAGCAATTTGAAAGTATCCCACTGTTTTTGTGTTATGATAATATAGTAACTAAAAATAGCTATGTAGTCTACAAAAATGTAAAGATTTTCTATACCATAAAAAAGTCCGACCTTTACAGGACACACTATCATTTTATTGAACCAAATATATTCTTGTGTGGAAAAGCAGACGTTTGCACAAAATGTTTTCAATGACATGGAACATATTGCCAATTGACACATGCATTGTACTTGCTAGTGGTGAAATAAAAACAGATTTTGTACACAGATTTAATGATCAAATTAAATGATTTGCCAGTTTAGCCAGTGTTGTGTCACAGCAGGTTAAGCAGGTTAAGCCACCACCTGTACAGTGGGATGCACAAACTGAGGCAGGACACCAAGGCTTTTAGCAGGAAGCAATGATTATTCATGCCGGCACTGGCTCAGCAAATTCACATCCAAAGGCTGAGCCCCAAATGCAGCAGGGTGTTGCCTTACATACCTTTTGTCAGCTTGCTTTTACATTTCAGTCTCTTTGTCCCCCTTATATAGTAACATACATTCTAATTGGGTGTTCTAATGCTACAGGGTTGAGATAGGGTTGCACAGGCATACACAGTTACTGGTATTGCCACATCACCTCTTCTTTGTTCTGGGAAGGTTCCTACCACATTCATATCATCCAGACATGTGCAGCTGTTTCTTTCAAACCTGGCCTTAATGAGGCTGGAGATAGATCTTACATCCAGGGGCACCAGGCAAGGTAGAATCAGGCAAGCCCCCAAAATTAAAACTATAACACTTTTGAGGGTCTTGAATCCCCCAAAAGTTGAACATTATCCCCCAAAGAGTTTCCCAGGGTTCCAGCCTTTCCAGGTCTGGACTGGGATGTTTGAAAACTTTCTCATTTGATCCGTGATTTCCTCTATGACCTTGCCCTCATCATCTATCTGTAGGCAGCAGTTGCTCAGGGTTTAATTTTTCCCAAATTCCTCCCTCAGAAGCAGGCAAGTAGTCTAAAGCATTGCACATTTTAGTATGTTGTTTGGCCAATACAGTGAGAGCTCTTGCAGTCTCATTAGTTATAATTTCTTTAAAAAAAAAAAAAGAAAGAAAGATTTTTATTTATTTGAAAGACGTTGCAGAGTGAGGCAGAGACAAGAGAGAGAGGTCTTCTATACACTGGTTCACTTCCCAAATGGCCACAACGGCTGGAGCTGAGCTGATCCACAGCCAGGAGCCAGGAGCTTCTTCTGAGTCTCCTACGAGGGTCCAGGGGCCCAAGGATTTGAGCCAAAGTCCACTGCCTTCCCAGGCGTGTTAGCAGGAAGCTGGATCAGAAATGGAGCAGCCAGGACTTGAACCGGCCCACATATGGGATTCCGGCACTACAGGCCAGAGCTCTAACCTGCTGAGCATTAGTTATGATTTCAACAACAGCTTGTAACATGATGATATGGTTGTAAATAGGAGTATGGTACCTGTAGGACCCATCCTCTGCCCAAGTGGCAGGTCCCTAATAGTGGATTATTCATTCAGGGGTTATAGGTCATCATTCCAGTCACCAATTGGCTCCCTGGTCCCCTCAGTGCTCATATACAAGGATTCTCAAATGTTCTCCTTTAACTGGTGGGAATAGAGAGGCAGATGGTCTCCAGCACACAAGATCCAGACCAGCACTGGGCTAGATTAGTATAGGCAGCCTTTCCACATATCCAGTAGAGTCCCCCTGGGGCCTGCCACTCAATGTTTGTGGTGAGGTTGTCTAGGCCTGTTTAGGTCAGAGAAATTGGACAAGGGGTGGGGATTGGTTTTGTGTGGTTTGGAGATGCCCAGCACTGGGCTTTCTGGGTAGTTGCATTATAGGATTTTTGACCCAGGCATGTCAGGTTTCTAACTGAGTGTTTAAGCTATCCTCCTTGGCCGGCGCCGTGGCTCACTTGGCTAATCCTCTGCCTGCAACGCCGGCACCCCAGGTTCTAGTCCCGGTTGGGGTGCTGGAGTCTGTCTCTGTTGCTCCTCTTCCAGT